CCAATTTTAGGCTTTTCTGACACAAATGCAGCAGCTTTCACTGATTTTTTTTTTAAACAGCCTGCCTGTACGATCAAGGAAAAAGGAAACTGAAATAAAAATGTAATTTGTACTTTGCAGGTTTGAGGTTCGCTGTGAATTAACGCATCATCTTCTCCTGCAGGTGAAATACAAGGAAGGTGTGAAGGAGAAGATTCAGAGCAGTTTGTACCATCGGCTGCCTGAGACCACAGAGACACAGCTGGCCAAACATCTGTCAGAGCTGCAGAGTGATGTACGCCTGTTTGGAGGAGAGATTTAGAGCAAAAAAACTGTTTTCCCCCTTTGGGTTCTCTAGAAATGATCATATGGGTTCATCACACTTTGTGTTTGCGTCTTTCTTGTAGCAGATATGAGGCTTTTAGAAAAGCTCCTTATTCTTTTAAACATATTTAGTGAATGTTTAATTTATAGAGGAACCATAAATGGTAATATTGACCTAAAGACCACAGTCAGATTTATGAGTTAAAACCCAGTCAAAAAAAGGTCCTTCCAGACACTGGAATGACTGAGAAACTCTATAGAAATCCTGAATAATTACCATATTATATATAAACAGAGTAAAATAATTAGAGTTGATGTGGTATATGCATTAAAATGTTTATTTGTGTGTGTTTAGGTAAAGTATAAAGAAGCAGGAAGGAAGCAGGCAAACAGCTGCCTTTATTCTCTGCTGCCTGCAACTCTGGAAACACAACATGCCAAAGAGTCTGCAGAGCTTCTCAGTGAGGTGAGAACCAGCTTTAACCCAAAGCTTTGGTTCAAAGCTGTCAGCATGGAGAACCTTCTCTGTATTCAATGGGAGGTTTCTGTTCTAACATGTATGAATCTGATCAGGTAAAATACAAGGAGGGTGGGAAAAAGGAGCTGTCCAGCAGCCTTTACTCCACCATGCCTGAAACAGCAGAAACCAGCTTTGCCAGAGAGGTCGGCGCCCTGCTGAGCGAGGTAAGGACAGGAAGCAGAAGATCCATCAGAGCTTCTGGGGCTTCAGATCTCTGAATGTTTACCTGAATGACAGGAAGATTCTGGATGCTACAACAGAACAATTAGACGTTTTAGTGTTTGAGGTTTACATAGTTTTAGAATAGCGTTAGGAGCCTGATCTCTCTCTCTGAATACAGTGTTGCTGGTTTATTTTGGTTCTAGAGACAGAATGATGCTATTTAATGTTTTTTTGTTGTTGTAAATAATCTGTTTAAATATTCTTTAAGAGATTTGAATTATTTTCTTTTTCCGCCCAGAATTTCAAACAAACTTCTTAAATTTAAGCACATTGAATGGTTAGCTAATTACTGTCTTCACTTTTAGTCAGAGTCAGAACTAAAAGGTTCCAGGTTAGAAAAATATAGGAGATGAAGTTGGACTTCTTCTAGGAAAAGTAGAATATTTTTACACACTCAGGGCCTGATGTGTTTTTAGAACAGGTGCAGAGGTGTTTGCACTCACAGAGCAGATCTACAGAGAAGATGCTAAGTATTTCAGTGCAATGCCAATTCACAACATGTCCCATCTGAAGAAGGGACTTTACATGATCTGCTTTTGCAATTCAGCAGAAAGCATGTACAAAACTGATGTATTAGCCTTCATCGGTATAGAGATCATTGTCATGGTTGGTTTAGGGATTAAACCCACATGCAGAACACCACTGGAGACTGATAAAAAGTTCAACAGAGTTTATTGAAAGTTTTCACAAACAATAATATGGACTAGATTCAGGAAACTGGTCCGGGCATGATTCTCTGGCGTCTGCAGAGACGGATAGTTTGATTAGCCAGTTAAACAGGTGAATAGTTGAGTTTCAGATGTTTCTGGAAATACCTTGAAGAGGTCCAGGCTTTCTCCTTGAGAGAGGGAACCGGTTGGGTCCAGAGACAGTTGGTTCAGCAGAGTGCTCAGCAGCAGCAGCGTCTAGCTTCTGACTTTCCAGTGACAGACCTTGGTTTGAGTGATAAGCTCTTTCCCTGAGAGCAGCAGGTGGATTCCAGAGTGAGATCTTCAGGTTTGGCTCTCTAGGGCAGGCAGGCAGGCAGGTAACAGGCTAAGCTCATCCAGAGCTTCAGACAAAAGACAGGTTTCCAAACTTGGTCAACACTGCGGCGTTGAAGGACGGTCTGGAAGCTGCTTAAGTAGAGCAGGTCTCCTTGATGGGCTGACGAGATCCAGGTGTGCAGGAGGGCTCCAGCCCAGGAGACCCACGGTGCACTCTGCTGGAGAAAGGTGGTACTTCTCCAGATCCCAACAATCATGATGGAATGACAGAACCACCCAAATTCATTGGTGGATATGCTAATGTAAACATTTACCATGGGCAGAGCTATTTTTCTAAATCTAAGGCTCCACTGCGGCTCCAGTTTTAGAACTCGTGAAAGGCCGGTACAAACTGAGACATGAAACTATAGCCCCATTTCCACTACCCTCTGAAAACAGATCCGTGCCGAACTTGGATCAGTTAACCGTGCCGAGCTCGGTCCACTACAACTAATTATGCATCACGCTAGCACGGTTCCTCGCCTCCTAGTGGTGATCTACGGTACTACTGCTCTCTAGAGGGAAACATGCAAACCAACAAGGCGACACCCGGGGGGGGGGCTTTGAAGGAGCTGGCCTATATTGGCTGGGTGAATTGGGACACACCATGTGGCACAATGCAGACCACTGACTCAGTGGCCATCAGAGCAGCATGTCAATCATTACCAGGCAGAGCAGCGTGATTCATCCTTCATGACTCTAGAGTTGCTATCAGGCTTTGATGCAGCTGCTTGGCCATGGTCACTCCTCCCATCAATCTCTCTGCTCTTTAGCTAAGCTGACTGAGGGCTATGAAGTTTGCAGATGTTGAGCTTCAGCTTGACCTCTGCACCATGGCCGGTCCTATACAGGGGCCAACGGGGGCCAGTGCCCCTGTGGATCATGTCCTGGCCCCTGTTACTTTAATGCTTTAAAGAAATTCTAATGATGATATACACTGGAACAGACATGGTTACTGATAGGTCCTTTGGCTCTAGTTCATTTTTTTTCTTTACAAATTCTGTTTTACTAATTATTTAAAAAAAATATGGTGATAGTTTCAGTGGTAATTAAGATAGGATCCTAGTTTTCATCTGCTAAAATTCTCAATTTTTTTACAGCTGAATTTATCAGTTTTCCTTGAGTTTTTACAGCACTGGTGGCTCGTTTTTTTCCCAATAGTATGCTGACAGGAAAGAGGTTATGAGGGAGGGGGAGAGACATGCGGGAAAGGACCACAGCTGGTGTTTGAACCAGGGTCGCCCGTGTCGAGGACTAAGACCTCCGTATATGGGTCATGCGCGCTAACCACTGGGCCGCCAAAGCATTCCCCTTATTCCTTGATTTCTAATTCATGTATATTAATCTATATCGACCTAATAAGACATAGCATTTTAATTAAACTTAACTGAATAGAAATGTCACTTCATGTAACTCTCTTAATATATTTGAATCCCTTGCCCAGTTTTTTATTTTTTGCTTTTCTGTTCCCCCATGAAAACACACTGGCCCCCTGGTACATTTTACAGAAATCTTATCATTTGTTTTTAGTGTGAAAATGCTTTATTGCGATAAGAATTGGGATCATGACAATGATAAACACTTTTGAAGATGTTTGCAAACCCTCATGATTAAGTTAATTTGGGTATTAGTGTTTTTTTTTTATTCAGTTAGATGATCTGTGTTTTGCGTTTTCAAGTTCTGTAACTGCAGTGACATGCAGTCCCTGCTGCACAACCAGAAATGGATGTGAGGAATCTTTGGATACTTTTTATCACCTTTTTTATGGTTATTGCAATAAAAACCTCAAAATAAAGTGGAAAAAGTCTAAATTAACCTTCCACTCTGTGTGATTTCTGCCTCGCTGTTTCTCAACTCAGTTTATGTGGTCGGCCGCCTACATATGGGTGGACTTGGGTGTTATGATGGCTAAAACTGTTTTACTGTAAAATATGAATTAGTGAGGAGCTTTTATATCTGGACACAAATCCAATTGGAATCCACTGACCATCCAGCAGCTCACTCACTGTTTAACATTTACTAGTAACACCTTATATGGTTAGAACTGTAGTTCTGTTCATCTTATTCAGAATCAGGTCACAGTGGCAACATCTCTATCATCAGAACTAGCTTTTTTTTAGATTTTGTATTTAAATATGTAAGAGCCCGGGCGTAACTTCCTGCAGAGAGCTGCATCACTATCATCTCATCGTTTCTGATGTCTCTATCATAAAATCGTCATCACAGCTCTGATTATCATCACAAAGATGATCAAAGAGATTATGTGAGTCACAGCCTTTTACATTTGCATTTTAATCCTGCTGAGACAATGCAGTCTGAATTAATAAGGTTCTGCTAACCGTCAGCAGTAATAAACAGGAGCAAATGCTCTTCCTATACAAATAAGGAAAACAAAGAACAGCAAAAATTAAAACAAAAAATGTTTGAGTTAAAAAAAGAAATGGAAACCAGTTTATTAAAGAGGAAACTCATGTTTTTGTGTTGAAGGTTAAATATAAAGAGAACGGGATGAGGAGCACAGCTCAGAGTCTCTACAGTCAGCTGCCAGAAACCGCTGAGATGAAGTTCGCTAAAGATGTCGCTGAAATGCAGAGCGAGGTGAGTGAAAAAAATGTACAATTGTGAGAACAGATCGACCAACATTTCCTTTCTGGTTTTATTTAAGGTTCTTTAAAACTTTTGTAATGATTATCGAGGCGTTTTTACAGGAAACACACCACGATGCAGCTTTATTTAGACCTGATATGTACAACAAGAAATACTGTTTTATTTTCTTATTTTAAGAAGTTGTTTTTTTTTGTGTAAAGAAAAAAAACTTATTTTTTTCCTTATTTGTTTAATGTAGATGAAATACAGACAGGGGAAAAAGGACGTTTCTCGCTCCCTGTATTCCACTCTGCCTGAGACGCTGGAAACGCTGCATGCGTCCGACCTGACCAGTGAGGTAACAGCTGGCTCTGATTAGGACCTTATGCTTGGTGGAAAGCAGGTGACGATGGTAGTTATTTAATGCTGGTGAAGATTCTCACTCATCCAGGTCATAGTCATTGCACAGAAGTTAAACAATCCACTGAAAGTTTCTCCAATGTAAAGATGAGAACATTCTTCACTGCGCTGAGCTGCATACACCACTTAGCTCTGATCTTTATGTTGGATAAACCAAACAACCTCTCCACAGACCCAGGAGAGCGGCCTCCTGCGGACAAGAGTCTACTGTCCACCTGCACCTTAAGAGCTGGTTAGGTTATCCTCCTGCAGTAGTGTGTCGCTGTGAGCTTTGATTTATGCCCAATATTATAGTGTTCTTTCCTATGTTATTACCACCTAGCTGTGGGTCTAGATACGGCTGAGGCTGTGAGGCAGTGGGGGCAAGCTTTTGCAACAACAGAGGGACATGAGGGTGAAAAAGAGCAGGGATCCAGGTGGAAAAAGGGTCCCAGCGTTCTCGCGCGCCTCACTCTTCTAGCTGGTCCATCTTCATGAGTCGTTTTTCACAATGGCGGTCATACAAAAAAACAACCTGGTATGGTACCAAACAGGAAATACACATAGTGTAGAGTGGATTTAGATTTGACCAATCAGAGGCCTCCTGCCTGCGACACTGTCTGTGGTCACCTACAATTTTGGAGAGGTGCAGCAGAGTGTCTGCGAAGGGGGCGGGGCATATCTGCGTTCACTGTGACACACGCAGACGACCTGGTTTCTGATCATAAACCAGCCTTTAAGAACAAAGGACACTCATTTTAGGACCAGAATGCTCACATTTTGGACAAAGGCAGCAGGTGGTTTGAAAGGGGTGTGAAGGAAGCCATTTATGTTAAAGGAATAGTACACCCAAAACATGATTAGTCTTCATTTTCTACTCACCCCCATGCTGAACAACACTCTGGAGTACTTTTTTGATATCTCAAATGCATCTGGAGATCTGGGAGGCTTCTTGCTGTCTGCTGACATTCAAATAATGGAGGTCTGTGGCGCCCGAGGCAGAAAGGTCCATAAAAGTCCACAAAAAACGTGTCAATATTCCTCCATACTGCTCGTCCAATGTATTCCAAGTGTCCTGAATGGGTAGCGTCCATAATTTACTCGAAACAAAGTCATTTAGAATGTTTTTAGAGCATAAACAGTAGTGTATAGGATTTCCTAAAAGCGCGTTCACGAGTCTACGGAAACCGCGGCAGACCAAACCAGATGAAAGTGCGCATTCAGCGTCTGCTCTGACGATAATGTAAGCGTAGAAGAAGAAATGTGCTGTTTACCTGTGCAAAGAAAGAAACAACGAAAGAAAAATGTCTGAGGACTTCAGTGTTGAGGAAGAGCATGAGTTCTTTGCCGAGCTGAATGCGCACTTTCATCTGGTTCGGTCTGCCGCGGTTTCCGTAGACTCGTGAACGCGCTTTTAGGAAATCCTATACACTACTGTTTATGCTCTAAAAACATTCTAAATGACTTCATTTCGAGTAAATTATGGACGCTACCCACTCAGGACACTTGGAATACATTGGACGAGTAGTATGGAGGAATATTGACACATTTTTTGTGGACCTTTCTGTCTCGGGCACCATAGACCTCCATTATTTGAATGTCAGCAGACGGCAAGAAGCCTCCCAGATCTCCAGATGCATTTGAGATATCAAAAAAGTACTCCAGAGTGTTGTTCAGCATGGGGGTGAGTAGAAAATGAAGGCTAATCATGTTTTGGGTGTACTATTCCTTTAAGAGAGAAACACTAACCTCAGACAGAGGGGGTGGATTCAGGTCTCAAAAACCTACAGTACAGCAATAGAGTTGTTTCCTTCCCAATATCATTTCAGTCCTCATCACCATGCAGGGTACCAAAACAAGTTTCCTAGAGAGCCAGGCCAACGACAACCCAACGACTCCCCTTTTCAGAGGAATGGGCCAGTATTGGGTATTGCAGGTCAACAAAGCCCTAAACGATTCTCCATTATGAAGGACCTGTTTTTTTTCGGTTCAATTGGCATGTTTTCTAAGCCATACCAAGGCTTTGTTTGGCTACTCTATGAAGCCTGGAACTCAACGCTATTCCAGACATTTTGAATTGAGAAAGCTTCCTGGATGGGAAGAGAAACGTCTTTAAACTTGGAAACAAAATCTAGTGGTTTGTTTTAAACTTTTTTGGAAGGAGGTACTAATTTTAGATTTTCAGCAGTTATAGTTTTTATAAACCGTCAATAACTGCAAACATAAAAGAACAAATGTATATAAATTCTCTGTTATTTTATCCTTTTTATGTATTTACAATCATTAAAGCTTAATTCTATTGCTGTATTTAACTGAGTGAACCGAGCATTGAGCCCTGTGGAACACCATAGTTTATTTATGGGTTATTTTTTGTGTTTTTCTTCTTTGTGTTCAGCGAAAGTACAGGGAAGCTCTGAAGAAAGATCTTTCCTCCAGCCTCTTCCATCAACTGCCAGAGACGTTAGAGATGCTCCACGCTAAGGAAGTCTCTGAGATGCTTAGTGAGGTATCAGAGGAACCGATCAGAAAATAGGGATACTCCTGGATTAATCTCACCTTTCTCATCTTTGTTTTTCATTTTGCTTTTCAGGTGAAATATAAAGAAGATTGTAAGGAGATGAACATGAACATCTACTCAGTGCTGCCTGAGACCATGGACACTCGGCACGTTAGAGAGGTGTCCGACCTGCAGAGTGAGGTATGCAGCAGAGGGACTCCTCTGGAGGAGTCTTCTCCACTTTCTGTGTTTTGTCTTAAATGTATAGAGGACAACCTTTTATTTCCAGGTGGATCATCTAAATAAGTGGTCCTCCTTACTGTCAATCATTCTGATGATATGTTTAAGTAAGGCCGTCGTACGTATTCGTCCGGTTAGCTATATTTTTCTGCGCATGCACACTTTCAGGCGTATATCTGTGCTGAGCTACGGTTTTAGACAGTCATTGAACCTCACCTTTCTCAGCGCGGTTCTTTGAAAATGGCCGAGGGTCGTAAGAGAAAAAGTGTCGATGAAGAGTATAAGAAGGAAAGAAAAGCCTCAGAAGAGGCAGATATATCCCACAATGCTTTGCACAGAAGGCTGTCCTCGCAAAGCTTTATGGGATTTGCTGTCACTGCGGCTCGGAGTCGCCATATGCTGCCGCTACCCGACAGTGGCGACTAATAACAAAGATGGTGCAGGCTCAACACGGAGGAGGAGGAGTTACGTGATCATCGGTGCAAAAAGCAGTGATCATCTGTCTGAACGGTCAGTTAACTGAGTTCACTATAAACTCCACTATATAGTCCCTGCTGTATGTGGACACAGTAAGCTTATATGAGCTATGAGAACAGCACATTTTAAACAGGGAGTGCACAGGGAGAAATGGGCCTGTGCATTCTCTCACAAGCACATTTATTTTAAAGTGGACCTTTAAATCTAACCTGACAACAGCCAGATGCATGTCTCGCTCCGCCTAGCTCCGCTCACATACATCTGGGAACCCACCATAGGAATTGCCTTTACTGAAGGCTGGGCCTTATCAAAACTCCTTGCATATGATTGGATAAGCCACTTGTCTGTCATCTTTATCGACATGCTATTTCAACCACTCACACCGAAGCTAACCCGTGACGCTGTGAGAAGAACCTTCAAAGCCGTTCTCTGATGTTCTTTTAATGACACAATATCAGATAGATTGGACAACACAGAAGAAATAGCAGCATCAATGCTAACGCTTGCTTCCTCGATGCGAGCCGCCATTGTTGTTGGAATCTAACGCTCGCTTCTCCACTACGTCACATCCAGGAAACACCCGCCCTGCGTCCTGATTGGACAGACCATAAATTTGGTTGGGGAAATCACTTTCAATGAGCGGGTTCCCAGATGTATGTGAGTGGAGCTGGGCAGAGCGAGACATGCATCTGGCTGTTGTCAGGTTACTTTAAATCTCCAGTAAACTGAAAAATAATTTTAGTAACAAATTTATTGCAGAATTTTATAGCAGAAATCTGACATTGGAAATATTTTTTAGTAACACTTAATGCTAAAAGATTAACACCCAAAGGCAAGAAAGTTTATAATTATTTAGTTTAAGGACAAATATATGTATATTTAATTATTTGAAAATCTTAAGTTCATGACATCTATAAATGGAATCTGTTTTATTGTAGCATAACTGGGCTAATAAGCTACTAAAATAATTGATGCATGTTTTAGTTTCCAGTTAAATTAGTAAAGAAGTAAAAGCTTGCACTTATCAGTTGAATGTTCTACCATTGTCATTGATGCTCAAATATCATCACCAAGACATGCGTGGTGATGATGATATGTTTGCAGATTTTCATAAAGCATCTCTGTTAAAATGTTTATTGCTCAAACATCACATTTTATTTGTTTCTTTTCATTTTATTTCCTTAAATGGTTCGTCTGCTTTTTATTCTCATTGTATTTTCACAAGTTTTCTGCCACAATATTTTAGTCCTGTGCATGAAGTTGGGTTCAAATATTTTTATCACACCATGTTAAAAGAAAGGGAAATACCCATCCTCCTATCCCAGGTTTATGGAATAACAATTTTAGATTCAAATAAACCAGAATAAAAAGGGATTTATGAAGGAATCAAACCAACTTCATGGTAAACACAATACCATTATTTTAGAGTTTTTGTCTCAGTATCAGTGAGTTATTTAACATGTAATACCTGCAAATCTTTACATCTTTGTTTTCTGTTAATAATCCATATCTGCCCTGGAGAAATACGTTTTACTATTTTTCTATTCATTGATAATTGTGTGATTTCCCATCAGAAGCAGCTATTTCACTTTGTATTAAGGACTGAATGGTCTTTTCCTGCCAACCGTTTTGTCTTTTATTTTTAGACGTTTTTATCCAATCAGCCTTTTTTTATGCAGATGGAAAGTGAAACAGCACAATGTGCTGAAGTTAATGCCTTTTAGGATATATTGATAGGATGCATCATCTTTCAGGTGAAATACAAGGAAGGTGTGAAGGAGACGAATCAGAGCAGTTTGTACCATCAGCTGCCTGAGACCACGGAGACACAGCTGGCCAAACATCTGTCAGAGCTGCAGAGTGATGTACGCCCATAACCGCAATCATACATGCAAGCTTTACATAACATTTTAATAATAAACTACAGATTTCTATGTATTTGAAGCTATGAAATCATCTGATCAGATGTAGTGAAAACTTTTTAAATCAGCCTAAAAAGTCTAAATGTGCATCAACAAAGAAGCACTAAGGAATGCATTCATGCAGGACTGTGGTTTAAATCTGCAGGTTAAATATAAGGAGGCTGGTAAGAAGGAGATGAAGACCAACCTTTACTCCCAGCTCCCCAACACCATAGAGATACAGCGAGCCAAAGAAGCTGCAGAGCTGCTCAATGAGGTAATGGACTGATCTTCCTCCTGGTTCAGTGTGTAAACCACAGCCTGTTTTACAACAGGAAAGAGGCTCATAAGGTTTCCATCACACAAGAGGCGGACAGGTCGCCAGTCCATCACAGGGCAACCAACCATTCATGCACACACTCACACCTAAGGAGAATTTAGAGAAGCTACTTAACATAACAGTCATGTTTTGGACTGTAGGAGAACCCAAGCATGATCAGCGAAAAACTCCATGCAGAAAGTACTCAGGCTGAGAATCGAGCCCAGAACCTTCTTGCTGCAAGGCAGCACACACTGCGCCACTGAGCAGCCCATGAGAAGGCTTCCATATATGATTAATACATTATTATCAATTCTGTCTCAGACGATGGGATTGGCCCAATATTGTCACATTTAAGAGATTATTTCAGACTAAGGCAGGAAGATTACTTGAGAACCTGCAGAGATCAAAATGTTACCATCTCAGCCGCAAGCTTTGAAAATCCACGCTTCAAAAATGTAATCCAAAGAAGCCATTTTTCTTAAAATAAGTGCATTTTTTTCTTGAATTGAGCAGGTAAGTGAGACACTTTGCCAATGGAACAACATAATTTACATTTAGAAAACTAGTGCATTGTCTTTTTTAAGAGCATCTTATCTAATATCTTATTGACCGAAAATATTAATTCCATTGGCAAATCATCTTATTAACCTACTCAAATTGAGGGTAAATACACTTAATCCAAGACATTTTTACTCATTTTTATAACATTTTTACAGTGTACCTAGAAGCTTAACTATACAGGGTTATTGAAAACATCACAAACCGTTTAGTATTTGGACATTTATTCATCTGATACTGACAGGTGGATGAAGTTTTGTTTTACTTTTAAATAGAAAAGTTTGTGCTCAACCTTATGCTAAGTTTAGCTTAATATTAGGACCAGAATAAACCTTTAATATACTCGTTGCCAAGGATCCTTCTTAAATTTTAGGGACCAACAGGTCAAACGTTCTGAGAGCAGGACACACAAAGGTAACCCAACAATCTTAATTAAAAGTTGGTCTTCATTTAAAAAAAAATGAAGATTTCTAATAAGAAAAATGAACAACCATATTGAAAATGTAATGATATCATGTAGAAAATAAAAGAAACGTTTTGAACACTTACAGCCTTTTACAATGATTTGACTTTTTTATTTGATGCTGAATCAAAGCTGTTATAATTCTCCCAGTATACTTAGCTACAAAATGAAGAGAATTGTATTTCTACCAGAAATGGGTTAGAGCCATCTTTGTCACAAAATGTATAAATTATATGTACCGGCATTATATTACACTTTAGATCACTAAGCAAGATCTAGACCTATAGAGGTGTACAGTGGGTAATATACAGTATGTGTGACCTTATTGTGTTTGATTGAAATGAAACTTATTTTTATGGCAGTAGTCAAATAAATGGGACTGAGTTATAAACCCTGTGGAACACCACAAGTTAATATGCAGGTGTTATCTAGTATACTGGAAAAAATCTAAATCTAAATGAATATTTTTTTTCTTAAAATAAGTGCATTTGTTCTTGAATTGAGGAAGTAAGTGAGACACTTTGTCAATGGAACGAGACAATTTACATTTAAAATAAGAATTGATTGTCTTATTTCAAATGCATATTTTCTAATTATCTTATTTCAAGAGTAAAAATTGGAAAATAATCTTATTTACCTTCTGAAATTAAGGGTAAATACACTTAATTCAAAAAATGCTGACTTATTTCTAGACTGTTGAGTGTAGACTAGCATAATAATGTTGGACATATGTTGCTGTTTTTAATGGTGAAGTTTTCTTGTGTAACATGTTTTTTTTTCTCCCCAAAGATCAAATACAAAGAAATCGGGAAGAAGGGAATGTCCAGCTCGTTGTATTCGACTCTGCCAGACACTTTAGAAACCAGCTTTGCCAGAGAGATGACTGAGATGCTGAGTGAGGTAAGCAAAGGCAACACTGGGTTTCAGATGATTGGGATAGTGTATAGTTGATTTTCTTTAATGTTTAATTACTAAATACGGAGTGATTTAATTACTCTGTATTTAAAGCTTCATTTTCTTATAGTTGATGGATTCAGCTAATTTTACAATAAAAAAGGCAGATTCTACGGTTGGAAAAAAAAAATCTCCAAATGTGTTAGATTTCTGTTTCTTTTTCTTTGTTTTTTTTATCAACTCTGAAAATTTGCTTTCGATGAACTAAGACTTGTAAATATATGTTTTAAGCATCGACGGTCCTACAGGAAACAAAACTGTTTTTTAATTTGCTGAGTCAGGTTTAGTATCCTGAATCTTTGTTTTTTCAAATGATTGGATAGAGATAGAATAAACACGAGGTTCCCCCAAACGGTTGGAAGGGCCTTAGAATGTGCTTCATTTGAGTTTATTCCCTTTTTAATAAATATATGATGCCTGTTATTTGACATATAATGTTTACTCAATGCTATCTGATGGTTGTATTTTAAAATTTAGCATAAGAAACCGGATCAAAGACAAGAGCTTCTCAAATTCAGTGGGGTTTGCTATGATCACACTGGAAAAAAACAAAATCTAGATAAGTTATTTTTTTTTTTTTAATAAGTGCATTTGTTCTTGGATTGAGGAGGTAAAAGAGACATCTTGCCAATGGAAAAAGACTATTTACACTTAAAACACAATTGCATTGTCTTATTTCATGTGCATGTTATATAATTATCTAATTTTAAGAGTAAAATGACTCATCCCATTGGCAAACTATCTCATTTACCTACTCAAATTTAGGGTAAATACAGTTAATTTAAGAAATTTTTACTTAGATTGTTTTTACAGTGCAGTGACCAGAGATTGTTGCAAAGCAGTATGAGTCTTTGAATCTCATTTTATATTGGTCCCTTTTTTATCCAGAACAAGTACAAAGAGGAAGGAAGGAGGAACCTGTCTCAGAGTTTTTACTCTCAACTTCCAGAAACAGCAGAGACTCAGTTTGCTAAAGCCGTCTCTGACCTGCAAAGTGAGGTGAGGAGAAGATCATCCTGGTTAATATTCATTGTTACGTAATGAAAGAAATCAGACTGTCTCAGCTTCATATGCGAAATAAGCTCCTCATCATGCAGGGCAGGATAAACGAAGTCAGAATCCAGTCTCAGTCATCAGTTATGCAGATGACACACGTCTCCATGTAGGAGTTTTAGAAAAAAAACTGCTGCAGATAAAAATGTTTTAAACATGGAGGATCTCTTCTTTTGGTTCATGTTCAGATGAAGTACAGAGAAGCAGGAAAGAAAGAAGCGATGAACTCCCTGTACTCGACTCTACCTGAGACCCTGGACACCTGTCACGCTAAAGAGGCGTCCCAGCTGCAGAGCCAGGTAAGCTCTGGTTCACCAACTGAACAAACCTACCATTAGATGAATTCAGTAATGAGACATACTGTACTGCCAATGATCCAAGAACTTGTTGAACTACCTGGAGCAGCAAAACTTTCCCAGCTTCACATCTTTCTAGAGAAATGTCGGCCCACTCTCTCTACTTTGCTTCACTTCGTTAAAAGTTGCAGCTATTTTCTCTACACAGTTCTCTAAGGGCTCCAGTATTCTAATAAACTTGAAGTCTGTACTTTGACTGGGCCATATTTAGCACCTTGATTCTTTGCTGTGTTTGGTAGCATTGTCCTGTTGATGGTTTAGGCAAATCTACAGCAGGTTGACACTGAAATCCTGCATCCTCTGTAACCGCCCGCTGCGCTCCAGACCTCCTGCACAAAGCAAAGCCTTTATCCTCGGCTGTTCCTCCCATCTTGCTCTGCTCCAGCTTCCTCAAAGCTCAAGGCGAGCATGCACAACATTATTATTAAATTCATAGGAGAAAAACATGCAGTGATGAACACTTAACTTAATATAACATCATTAAACTTCACCATCAGCATCAATCACACACATTTCTGCCAAAACATTTTCTTTTTATTGCGTGTCTTTTAAATAGGGATAATTAGGATCATACTAAATGGGTTTGTTCTCTACATCCAAACTCAGCATCTCTTCATCTATGCTTGCAATAAGAAGTTGGTTTTGAAGTTTTGAGATTCGCTTTTAAGCCTCATGTTAAAGGCCCAATAGTTTGCATCCAATAATTTAAAGAAACGGTCTTAGTTTTTTGGGAATGATAAGAATTATACTCTAATTTGTTGTAACCTATCTGTCATTACTATATTTTAATTCGACAAACCGGATCTCCTTGACGGTGCGATTGCAACTGCAGATGGATTTGCAGAAGGATCTTATGCAGATGGATCTTATGCAGAAGGATCTTATGCAGAAGGATCTTATGCAGAAGGATCTTATGAGGACGGATCTTATGAGGACGGATCTTATGCAGAAGGATCTTATGCAGACGGATCTTATGCAGACGGATCTTATGCAGAAGGATCTTATGCAGACGGATCTTATGCAGAAGGATCTTATGCAGAAGGATCTTATGCAGACGGATCTTATGCAGAAGGATCTTATGCAGAAGGATCTTATGCAGACGGATCTTATGCAGACGGATCTTATGCAGAAGGATCTTATGCAGACGGATCTTATGCAGACGGATCTTATGCAGAAGGATCTTATGCAGACGGATCTTATGCAGACGGATCTTATGCAGAAGGATCTTATGCAGATGGATCTTATGCAGACGGATCTTATGCAGAAGGATCCTATGCAGACGGATCTTATGCAGACGGATCTTATGCAGAAGGATCTTATGCAGACGGATCTTATGCAGAAGGATCTTATGCAGACGGATCTTATGCAGACGGATCTTATGCAGAAGGATCTTATGCAGAAGGATCTTATGCAGACGGATCTAATGCAGACGGATCTTATGCAGAAGGATCTTATGCAGACGGATCTTATGCAGACGGATCTTATGCAGAAGGATCTTATGCAGACGGATCTTATGCAGACGGATCTTATGCAGACGGATCTTATGCAGAAGGATCTTATGCAGACGGATCTTATGCAGACGGATCTTATGCAGACGGATCTTATGCAGAAGGATCTTATGCAGAAGGATCTTATGCAGACGGATCTTATGCAGAAGGATCTTATGCAGAAGGATCTTATGCAGACGGATCTTATGCAGACGGATCTTATGCAGACGGATCTTATGCAGAAGGATCTTATGCAGAAGGATCTTATGCAGAAGGATCTTATGTAGACGGATCTTATGCAGACGGATCTTATGCAGAAGGATCTTATGCAGACGGATCTTATGCAAATGGATCTTATGCAGACGGATCTTATGCAAAAGGATCTTATGCAGACGGATCTTATGCAGACGGATCTTATGCAGAAGGATCTTATGCAGACGGATCTTATGCAGACGGATCTTATGCAGAAGGATCTTTTGCAGAAGGATCTTATGCAGACGGATCTTATGCAAATGGATCTTATGCAGACGGATCTTATGCAGACGGATCTTATGCAGAAGGATCTTATGCAGACGGATCTTATGCAGACGGATCTTATGCAGAAGGATCTTATGCAGAAGGATCTTATGCAGAAGGATCTTATGCAGACGGATCTTATGCAAATGGATCTTATGCAGAAGGATCTTATGCAGACGGATCTCATGCAGACGGATCTTATGCAGACGGATCTTATGCAGAAGGATCTTATGCAGACGGATCTTATGCAGAAGGATCTTATGCAGATGGATCTTATGTAGACGGATCTTATGCAGAAGGATCTTATGCAGACGGATCTTATGCAGAATGATCTTATGCAGACGGATCTTATGCAGAAGGATCTTATGCAGAAGGATCTTATGCAGACTGATCTTATGCAGACGGATCTTATGCAGAAGGATCTTATGCAGACGGATCTTATGCAGACGGATCTTATGCAAAATGATCTTATGCAGACGGATCTTATGCAGAAGGATCTTATGCAGAAGGATCTTATGCAGACTGATCTTATGCAGATGGATCTTATGCAGAAGGATCTTATGCAGACGGATCTTATGCAGACGGATCTTATGCAGACGGATCTTATGCAAATGGATCTTATGCAGACGGATCTTATGCAGACGGATCTTATGCAGACGGATCTTATGCAGACGGATCTTATGCAGAAGGATCTTATGCAAATGGATCTTATGCAGACGGATCTTATGCAGACGGATCTTATGCAGACGGATCTTATGCAGACGGATCTTATGCAGACGGATCTTATGCAGACGGATCTTATGCAGACGGATCTTATGCAGACGGATCTTATGCAGACGGATCTTATGCAAATGGATCTTATGCAGACGGATCTTATGCAGACGGATCTTATGCAGAAGGATCTTATGCAGACGGATCTTGTGAGATCTCACAGTATTCCTTAGTCTTATTTGCGTTTGTATTGGCTTAGATGTCGACTCCTGGAAAGTTATGGCTTCAGTTATTCCTGAAATTGCCTTTGATTCATTTCCAGGTTGTTGAGAAGCAGCAGTTGCTTCTCTGAGGTTATTGCTGATGTCTTTCTGTCTTGGCATTGTGTTTCACACAGCTGCATGCTTTAGATCAGCAGATCAGTTCCTTGGCCCCAATGATCGGGCAATCAGTGCCTTTAATCAGCAGCACCTGGTTGATGCTTTCACCTAGTTACCGTAGAAATAACCAATGATGACACTTTCTCACACCCCTAGACTTCATACAGTGCATATTTAAACAGTCTGTCATTTCTCCATTACCATTCATGAACTTCCGTTAGCCTTTAGCCCTTTATTCCACGAGCCTGGTGATTTAGCCTGCAGACACATTTACCTCCAGCAGTGGATCAAACCTGATTCACCGCAGTACGATGGTTGCTTTGGCTCCCAGAGTCACTCTGATCAGAACTAAAAGGTGCAGATTTCAGGTCTTTTCTTTAAACGAAAAATCATTTGATTATAAGAGTGGGAGGGCTGTGAAATACCTAATGAACTGTAAAAGTTGATCAAATTCTTATTTTAATTTTTATTGATCATCTTATTCTTTTCATTGATGAGAAACCCTTATCTTATCAACCTCAAAAAGCTATGTAACGAGAAACCTAAACTGTAAATGTCATGAAAGGGGATGAAGAAATACTTATGTTTTCATTTATTGAATCTTTAATCAGAAAAAGTCCCTTTAAGATGTTAAAATCTCCTTTTCTTCAAAGTCCTGCTCTTACGAAAGCAAATCTTCATTCAGCTTTTTTGTATTTTTTGGATTTCTTTTATCCCTTTGTGGAGTTGACGAGGAAGCTGAGACTCTTGCAAGAGAAAATTTATTTAACGTCCTCAGACTGAGAGATAGAGCTCTGACCGGGACAAGCTCAGTACATAATTTTATACAGCAACTCCCAATACTCTCTTGGAACTATCCCACCCCTACATAAAGAACTTTCTCACACACGGACATTTGGAGGAAAAACAACTTGAATCATCAAGGTTGTTCGCTGTTAGGTTAATATATCTTTCACGGGCCAGATGGATCTCCTCAAAACATCAGTCCTCCCCTTCTCACCATGAAGGAAGCTGTGTAACTCATTCTTTTCTCTCATGACCTTCGTTTGGAGCCTGTGAGGCTAAGAACAGACATACTTCAACATTATTTACTCCACAACTTCATTAGCCTTTAGCTATTCATTCACTGTATTTAGTTGTGTTATTTTTCCTCCAGCTGACATACAAGCAGAATCAGAAGAAAGACGCCTCCAGTCTCTACCACCTGATGCCAGAAACCATCGATACTCAGTTTGTCCGACAGCAGATGGAGATGCTCAGTGAGGTGAGATTGATCAGATTTTCCTGGACTCACCCTGATTCCTGCCTGTTTAACTCCCATGACATGTGGAAAAGCAGCCTCTGTCTCTCTGACTGTATTATTAACTGTAATGGACGGCCTCCCGTTCTCTTCCCTTGTTCTGCACTCGGTTTCCTAACAAGGTCAAATACAAAGAAGACGGGAAGAAAGAGATGAGCATGAACCTGTATTCTCTGCTTCCTGCGACACTGGAGAGCCAGCATGCTAAAGAGCTGATGGAGATGCAGAGCGAGGTGGGTGGACTGATGGGGCTGTGTTAGTGTCACCAGGGCCGCTTCCAGGCATAGTTCTATGAGAAAAGTAAAGGATAAGTCTTCAACTGTGCACGTTATGCTCCATATATGCTCTGGGTTTTGTTTCTATAAAAGTCTGAAGAGCTGAGTAGCTAATTTTCTTTGTATGTGATTTGGGGACAGATGCAAGTTTGTACTCCTTTTCTTTTTTATTAATTTTAGTTGCTTCATTCATTGCTAGTTGTTTATTATTGATCAAATGAAATAAAAATAGTATGTATTAAATTGTTACCAACCCTCCCCTAAGAGACTGCCCAGTAAATGGCCTGTACTTATTTAGCGCTTTTTCTAGTCAGGAGACTTGACCAAAGTGCTTTACATTACATTCAGTCATTCACCCATTGATGGTGGTGAGCTACATTGTAGCCACAGCTGCCCTGGGGCTCACTGACAGCACCAAGGCTGCCATACACTGGCACCACCGGGCGTCTGACCACCAACAGTAGGCAATAAAATCTGGAGTCGGAGCTTGCACTCGAAAACCCTGTCGTCCCTGAAGCAAAGATCCTTCTTGAAGTGCTTTGTAGAACCGCCTTCAGTAAAAAGTTCAGTCAGTTTGGATCTTAAGTAGCTATTTTCAAAATGGGCTGCTACAGATGCACACATTATCATAAAATATGAAGGTCTTAAAGTGGTTATAAATGTATAAACAGGGATTTTAAAACAGAACTTTGAGGCTTTTCTCCCATTTACCCATATAAGGACCGTCCCACCTCGACTGAAAAGCCTTTTCGCTTTTGCAACAACCTAATTATGTGATTCTGCCTTTTCAGTAAAAAGCATAGCCTACCAGTGGTCAGTGATAAGCATATTGGCAAGGAAAGACAGTGAGAAGGGTGTGATTACTCTTGTTCTGTTGTAATCGACATTTTGTTGAAAGGTTTGTTATTCAGTGGTATTATGATAGAATGTTGATAAAATGTTGAGTAATATTCTTATGTTAAACAATTATTATGGTAATTGAGTTTAAATTAATTTCAATTTGGGTTTATTTCTATAGCGCCAATTCACAACACGTCATCTCAAGGCACTTTCCAGTTCACCAGATCATCCAGTCAGATTGATTCAAAGTTTTCTATCTAAGGAAAATCAGTTTATTGCATCGACTCACTGACTCTTCAGCAATCCCTCACACTAAGCATGCTCGTAGTGACAGTGGAGAGGAAAAGGTCCCTTTTAACAGGAAGAAACCTCCAGCAGAACCAGGCTCAGTGTGAGCGGCCAGTGTTTTCAGAGTGGACGTGATTTCCAGTGATGGGCAGTAGCGCCGCTACATGTAGCGAAGCTATTAGTTTAACTACATTTTCCAGTAGCTTGACCGTAGCGTCGCTGCTTTATTTATCAAGTAACTTTCCTGTAGCGACGTTATTGTTTTGATCAAGTAGCGACGTAGCGTCCACAAACGCTACAAAATCCAGGGCATAACTAAACCAGGTTTTCTATTTTGAAACAACAATCAGCCACAAAACTACTGTAAATAGCAGTTTCAGTTGATGCTCTTATAAGTGGCGTAGTAGCACAGGCACACTCCGTAGGGTTAAACAAGCGCACCCTTTCCCAGGCTGTCATTCTATTGGCTGGAATAGTTGCTAGGCGACGATCCAACTGCAGTCTGAGAGAGAGCAAAACAAATCCGCAAGCAGAGCCTATGGGTTTGCGAGCGTATCTGAGACCCGAGCAGAGCGCGGTTTGTGCGCGAAGAGAAGGAGGCAAGCGAGAGGAGAATATCTGTGCAAGAAGCATTAAATCTGAGAGAAGTAAGAAAGATTTGAGAGAGAGGAGAAAAGATTTTAGAGAGAGCGCTTGTTTGGAGTGTGAGCATTATAAGTTTTGAGTGCAAGAAGATGAAATTCTTTTCTCAAATTGAAATGATGTGCTCTTGCATTATGGCAGGATAATTCTTCCATATGTGCCACTAAGATACTCTAATTAGAGAGCAGTAGTGAAACTTCCATATTGTATTTTCATGGCCTAGTTTACCTGACAGGATGTTTACATAAATCTGTTTTTAGGCTTTGCACAGATAAGATATTTTATTTATGGAGGAACAGCTCTACCGTATATAAAATAAATACATAAAAAAATAAATGCTCAATAAATAAATAAATAAGCATTAAATTAATTGCCCCCAAAAAAAATTTTAATATGCTGATCATGAAGCAATGTTTACACTGTGTTATGTCATTGGCTGATCTTTAATAAATATTTTAACCAGTGTGTCAGACTCATTTTGAATTGACATTAGCTTGGTGCAAGTAGCTTCTGATGTAGTTAAGCTACTGTTAACACATTAGTGTAACTTAGCTTGCTATAATTCTTTAGGTGGTAGCTTTGGTGTAGTGAAGCTTAATTTATTGTTGAGTAACTGATAGCTTAGCTCACTACACTGGACAAGTGGCTTGCCCAACACTGGTGATTTCTTATAGCTTTCTTTTTGCTGCTCTTAGTGAGCGACTAATTTCCTTCATAGATTCTTTCACATGAGCCTTTGATCTCTTAGGCTGCCCCAGAATTATAAATTATAATCCAGGCCTGGATTAGAGTAAAAAGGTTAAGTACACACACATTCAAAGTTTTTATCTCTAAAACATTTTCAAAAAAACTTATTTCTTCCTCCGCTCCACTTTGTCCCATAATTCCTGTTTCTTTTTTTTTTCTTTTTTTATGCATTTTTCTCTTTAGCCAGCATTTCTTTGCCACCATTATTTGTCTTTTAATTTATTTATTTATTGTAGTTTAGATTGTAATCAGACTGAATTTAAACTTATGGGGAGCCCAGACTGTTCAGGAGAGGATCATTAAAGTTAAACTGTTTTTACCTTTCAGGCAAAATACAAAGAAGCCAGTAAGAAAGAGACTTCCACTCCTCTGTACCACAGCCTGCCGGAAACTCTGGAGACGCAACACGCCAAGGAGGCGTCAAAGCTGCAAAGCCAGGTGGATGGTCACTTCTTTGTCTTTAAAATGCTCAGCGCCTCTGCTTCATGTTAGCAGCTTTGATATGAGGGCATAATGAAGGGAAATAAATGAACACCTGACCTGTGATCACTGCATGCTTTAGATTATTACTCTGTTTGATAATCTGGGCTCCATTGTGTCTCCTAGCTGCTTTATAAAGAAGGCTTGAAGAAGGATCTGCAGTGTCCAGCTTACCACCTGCTTCCTGATACTCTGGAGACCCAGTTTGCCCGAGAGGTCGCCCACATCCAGAGCGAGGTACGAGCAAAGACTCAGGAAACAACAATGCATTTAAATCAGCTGATAGACTGTTAGTAGATGGTTTAAAGCTGAGGTTTATTAAGGTTTAACTATTTCACTGATGACTGACATCTGGTCCAGGAAGGCTGCAGCTGCATTATCTCAATAATCCGCAACAATAACCTGCATCTGGTTTAGTGATAATATTTGAAGCTTAGAGTAAAGTGATCAATAGTTTTACTGCTGTGATCATGAATGTGGCATTAAAATATGAAATCGGCTCATTTACACACAATCCATCTGTAGGCTGAAAGATTTAGGATTCATCTGTTGTTTGAGGAAGAAATGATGATTTTAGAGTTAATCTAAAATCAGACTTCAGACCCATCAGGTGCAGTCATTCAGTTTTACTATTAGAGACAATTAGCAACTAGTTTCTTCCCACTTTGGTGTTTAAACTGGTTATATGGAATCACAATGCAAAAAATGTAAATCTCAATAGGTAATTTTTCTTCTTAGATTTAGTGCATTTTTTCTTGAACTGAGGAAGTATTTGAGACACCTTGCCAATGGAACAAGACAATTTACATTTAAAATAAGAAAAAAACAATTGCATTGTCTTATTTCTAGTCCATAATACTTGGTTATCTTATTTTAAGGGTAAAATATTATTTCCATTGGCAAATCATCTTATTTAACTAATCAAATTAAGGATAAATACACTTCACCCTTTAAAGCCCGATCCAAGAATAAAACAAAACAGAAAAATCTTTGTTTTTTGTTTGAATTCCTTATTTGCCCTTTTAACAAAATATGTAAAAAAAAAAAAAAAAAAAAAAAACAGAAATAAATTTTTGATATTAATAATTTATTACTATGCGATAAGTCAAGATTATTTTTTGTGTAGTCTTCTGCCCTCTGTTATCAGGTATATCTGAATGTGTACAATAGGATATTGAGCAAAGTTTTTACCATTAAATTATGCAGAAGGTGTCAGACGCAAAACATTTCAGAAACCATATGTATCAAATATGATACATTTGGCATTACAGGGTTAATTTAAGACATTTTTACTCATTTTTAGATCATTTTTGCCAGATTGTTCTATCCTTTGGTTTTATATTTCTGTATGCTGTTCCATCCCTTATAGATTCGTAAAGTAAAAAATAACTTTTTTAAAAGTAAATGAATATTTTAACCTTTTATTAGTTTTTTTTATATATTTTAAGAAATTTTCCATTTAGCAGCAACGTTTTCTGACAGACTGGTGCTGAAACCGGTTCTGTTTGAATGGTGACGGGTTGGTTTAAAGCAGGACCTGAATTAAAAGCTTAAAGTGGTGCCAAAAACAAACACTAGAATTAATATAAGAATTAAGGTTACGGGAGAAAATGAATGGAAATTAAATATAAGGCAGATGATAACCAACAAGAAGGAGGAGGGAAAGATGGAAACAGAACATCTGGATGGGCGACCTGACAGAAAACAGAGAAAATTTGGATCATTTTACAGCCTTTGACATTTTAAGCCTCTGCTGTTTTACCAATCCGTTCCAAAAAAAGTTAAAAAAGAATCCGGTGGACTTTGTTTCCAAGTTTGAAGGCGTTTCGCTTCCCATCCAGGAAGCTTGTTCAATTCAAAACGTCAGGAATAGCGTTGAGTTCGAGGTTTTATAGAGTGGACCAAAAACATTTTGTTTTGGCTTAGAAAACATGTAAATTGAACCGGACTAATCCGTCCGTCCCTTTGGAATGGAGGTCATTTGAGTTCTTTGTTAGCCTGTAATACCCGATACCTGTCTATGTTGTTCAGTCTGAAGCTGTTGGGAACGAGTCTTTGCAGTCTACATCTTAAATTGAAACAAAGATGGTGGCTATACTCTTATAAACCATCTCCTTTTAATCTCTCTAATTTCCTAATGTTCTGTGTTTCGCTTTGACAAACTTTGCTTTAAATAGATTTTCTGTTTTACTTTAACCCTAATCTGTCACATATTAAAGTTATCAATTGCATTCGGATCAGAACCACAGTATAAGGTCTTTGGCTAAGAATATAACATTAATGGAAATATATGTGTAGAAATATGGGTTTGAACAAACTGACTGAGTCACAAACAAATCGCAGAAGGAAAACAGATGAAGTCAAATAGATGAAACAGATTCTAAACATGGCAGCTCGTCCTGCATGAAAAAAGATGAATCCTCCACCTGGTATTTCTGCCTGTGATTGTAGAACAAGTACAAAGAGGAGGGGAAGAAGATCTTGTCTCAGAGCGTCTACGCTCAGCTGCCAGAAACCAGCGAGACCAAGTTTGCTAAAGCCGTCTCTGAGCTGCAGAGTGAGGTGAGAGCAGACGGCTGAAGCCGGGAAACTCTGGGAGAGATGTGCAATAAAAAAGATTTGGTCCAACATCTTAATCTGATTCTGCTGCATGTTTAAGATGTTTAAACTCACAGGAACTTTGATTCTCAGACTAAATACAAGAAGTCAGGGAGGCGAGAGGCCGGCAGCAGTTTGTTCTCAGTGATGCCAGAAACCCTGGAGACCCAACACGCCAAGCAGGTTTCTCACATCCAGAGCCAGGTAACACACACACATACTCATTCTGCCATCGTAGTGAGGACCAGGTGTTGATTCCCATTGAACTCCCTGGATTTTCAGTCATTTTCAACCCTTTCTAAGCCCTAGCCCTAAAACTAACCCGTAACCTTACCATTACCAATTCATATCTCACCCTAACCCTAATCAATTGACACCTTAGCCCTATACCTAACCATTAGCAAAATAGCATTTGAGGAATGGCAAAATGTCCTCACTTTGCAACAACTGGTCTTCAATTTGATGGTAAATTTGAAAAAATGGTCCTCACTCTGAGGGCTGGACAGGTGTACAAACACACACACATCCATGCTAATTGGAGGCCGGTGCCTCCAGCACTCATGAACACGCTCACACCTGCAGAAGTTTAGAGGATGGACTTTTTCAGCCTGTGACCCTAAAAATAATAATGCAGCAGGCTGATTAAGCCCCTATATATATATATATATATATATATATATATATATATATATATATATATATATATATATATATATATATATATATATGACATATGATAAAAAGATCTATAGGTTTTAATAAATGCATTTTATTTATGAATTTTGATAAAAGTGACACATTTTTTGTTCACTTTTTGCACTGTAATAGAAGAATGAATGTTTTAGGCTGAATATTCTATTTTTCTGCCTTTTTTATCGTTTTTATTGCCTCTAAACTGAGATGTGAGATTTCAAAATGAATTTTTACATCTGACCATGGCTCTAAAAAGAACCACTGATGCCTGATCGATCAGTAGGACCCAGAATACAGCTGAAGCTGCTGTTTCCTCACTGACCAGATGTCGTCCTTGCAGGTGAAATACAAAGAGGACCTTCAGAAGCAGCTGTCGTCCAGTTTGTTCTCCACGCTTCCTCAGACGCTGCAGACTGAACGGGCCAAAGAAGTCACAGAGCTCCAGAGTCAGGTGAAGAAAGCATCATTTGACCCACAGCTAATGAAGAAAATATATGGAAGAACAGCCGATTAAAAGCTGCTTTAACATCGTCTGATAGAGCAAACCTGGTGATAACACAAGCTTTAAACATCTGTGCATAAGAAACAACCAGTTTTAAATCCTATGGGCACAGAAAGTCCAGCAGAGGCTTCTACTGAAGCTCCCTCCTTTGGGTCAGTCCCCGTTATCTCTGCTTTCCTTTCCAACAGAGAAATACCATTAAACTCTCCTCAGGTCACAGTGAATGATGCATCCATACATTTATTGGGATGTTCTCTATAATCCTTTGCAGCTTTTTCTCTTCAGATGTTCAGGTTTGCACCTTAAAAACGTTACATGAAGAAATGTGTTAGAATGTGTGTAGAAAGCAGACAGATGGCCGCTGATAGATGTCAGTTAATAACAAGGTTTGAAGCGCCCAGCAGGATGTCCTTAAGACAAAAGCATAGGATGGATTTAAGCTGATCAAATATATAAGTAGTAACTGATGAGGCAGAATAAGTAAAGCAGGAGAGATGAATTCTGAGTTCTGGTTTGGAGACGTAACAAACCAAAACTCTTTGGAGAATTTAAAAGCTTTTTAGCTGTTGCAACATTTAGATAAATATTAAATTTTCTTTTCTGAGGAGGAGCTCTTCTCCACAGCATCCTGCTTTATATCAGCCAAAAATGCAGAGAGTCTCACTTTTATCCACATAATCAGACTATGAGGGTTCAATAAGGCTTTAACTGGCTGCAACTAAAATTATTTTGCAAATTGATTAATCTGTTGATTAATTTTTCGATTAATGGATTAATAAACGGATAGCCAAAGGTTCCTATAGAGGATTTTTACAGAATTAAACCAGGTGAAAGTAAAACGTTTCTGCTTTTGGAGCTCTGGATAGAGAGTATTTAAAGGAGAAAACGTTTTCTATGCAAAAAATTTAATTATCACCAGGTTTGCTCTATCAATTTTGTTATAATTCCTGCTCTAAGTGGGTCGCTCTGTCGGCTAAAAGCAGGTTTTAGACTCTCTATACTCCAGTTAACGATTAGTCGATTTCTATATCAGTTGATTATTTCAATAATTGCTTAATTACGATGAATTATTTATTTATTCATTATTCCAGACCTAGGATACTTAGATATTGTCTGAAGACAGTAATCAGTCCATACTTAGATGGATTTTTCATGATAGATTTTTTCATTTTCTAAAATTTTGCAGGTTTTCTGACCCTCTTCAAACTTTTAATAAATTTGCTTAGACAAAATAAATAAGACAGTTTTAGGGGACTCGTTGTTTTCATCATCAATTATGGTTAAAAGTTTTGATTTTCAACATGCCACTCAGACAAATGTGGTGGCATAAACTACCTTGCTAGCATTCATTTTCCCCCACGGAATTAATTAATCTATTTCTGTGTAATCTGAAAATAATTTCAGTAGTTCTTTATGTGCTGTAAAAATAAATAAAAATAAAATCATCCGCATGTCGCTCATATATAACAAACAAAAAATAAGTAAATCTCCCATCCTGTCAGTTGGGTTGACATAAAATTTATTGTGAAAAATTGCTGATCATTCTTTAATAAGATCCTCATCTAACGGACATGCAATGTTTTTGTTTTTAAAACCTAATGCATGTAGCGAACCTAGTGAATGATTTTGTTGTTTTATGCAAAAAAACACAACAAAAACCTGACTAAGTCGCAAAATAAAACAGCATGCTTGGACGTAAGGAGAGCGGAGACAGAGGAAACTCTATATAATGCGTATTACTAAAGGTATGCTGGCTTGGCGCGGTACGCTAAACATCATGGGAGTGGGTGATGATGATTATGTATTGCACATTTGGATACTGAAAATAAAATAAAGGTTTTAATCTTCTGATGCGTGACTTTACATACCTTCAAAGCCCAGATGAAAAATGACCTTTATCGAAATGCTTTCAGATGTGATTTTTAGTTATTTATGAATGTCCAGGGTAACATGTCTCTGAGTTGTGCTTTTAAGAATTACTTTCATGTCTGGAGTTATGAGCTTGAGTGTTTTTTTTTTTTCTAAAGCTGTACCAATTAATTCTTTTCTATGATGCAGGTGAAGTATAAGGAGGGCTGTCAGAAGGAGGTGTCCTCCTCCCTGTACCACCTCCTTACAGAGACGCCTGAGATGCATCTGGCCAAGCAGGTGTTGGACATGCAGAGCGAGGTGCAGCTACGTTCACTGAAACCCTTTGCTCCTCGTTTCCACCGCCGCTCCTCCATGTTTGCTGCTTCTTTTTCCTCTGCAGGTGAAGTACAAGAAAGAAATGGAAGATCTACCAAACACGCTTTACTCGCTGATGCCTGAAACTCTGGAGACGCAGTTTGTGAAAGAAATGGCGGAAATTCACAGTGAGGTAAAACCTGTTTTACTGATGTCTGCTATCTCTTATTGGAGGGAAATAAAAAGTCTGCTAGAGGATTAAAGATGTGTTTTTATGGAAGAGGATTAGGGCCACTGAAAAAATAAAAAAGGTTAACTTATTTTTAATTTTATTTCAGTATAAGAAAAGTTCTGAGTCAGAGTTCTGACTTTAATCTCAGATTTCTGACAGAATTCCAAAATTCTGAAATTAAAGTCAGATTTTTTTACCTTATTGAGCCATATTGAACTAAAATAATATTGAAAAATCTGTTATTTTTGTTTTATTTTTTAGTGGCCCTGAACTTCTTCCATAGGCTATGTTTTAAAGCAGTTTTTAGCTGATATTTCACATTAAATTAATACGTAATATGTTCTTGGATTACCATTAAAAAAAAACAAAAATATTCATTTGTTCTTTCTGTAGTTTGTCTGGATATTTATTTTAAATATGGTTTGGAAAATGGTTAAGAAAAAAAGTTTCAGTTATTTATTTAACTTCCCAAACAAACATGTTAAGTATGTGAGGGCGGCATGCTCAGATCTGATTGGTCCAGAGCTGATAAATCTGCTTGGTGATGTCACAGTGGTTTATCAGCCAGATAAAAAGGCTCCATAGAAAACATGGAAGAGTTCACTGCAGAGTAGACTGAGGATGATGGTTAAAGCCTGCAGCTGAGTGAGGCTGCTGCTTTCTCTGCATCAGGTGAAGTACAAGCAGGAGGCGAAGGAGCAGACATCTACATCGCTTTACTCCAAACTGCCGGAAACTCTGGAGACGAGACATGCTAAAGAAGTGATGGAGCTGCAGAGTGAAGTGAGAGATCCTCCTTTCATATCTGGTCTTTTTCCCTCCTTAGTTCAACCTTTCTTTACCCTTTTTTCAGTATAAATCCATGTTATTTACCAGAAAAATAAATCACTATACAAATGAAAGAATCAACATTCACTCATCAAACATCTCTGCAGAATAGATTTCTAATCTGTGTCTTTGGATGTTTGTTTTCATCAGAAAAAATACACAGAAGAAGGAAGGAAGGAGATGGCGTGTCCTCTGTACTCCCAGCTTCCTGAAACTGCTGAGACACAGTTTGCACGAGAGGTGACAGAAATCCTGAGCGAGGTGCGGCTCCTCAGACTGCTGCTCTACTAAAACCAAACTATATTTTAACCATATCTAATTCAATTCAGTTTAATTCAATTATTTTTAATTCAATTCATTTAATTTCTATAGCGCTAATTCACAACACATGTCATCTCAAGGCTCTTTCCAGTTCAACCAGATCATACAGTCAAATTGATTCAAAGTTTTCTATCTAAGGAAAACCAGTTGATTACATGGACCCATTGACTCTACAGCAATCCCTCACACTAAGCATGTAGTGACAGTGGAGAGGAAAAACTCCCTTTTAACATGAAGAAACCTCCAGCAGAACCAGGCTCAGTGTTAGCGTCCATCTGCTGAGGCCCACTGGGGTTCAAGGAGACAGAAGCAGAGATATAGAAAGAAGCTGTAAAAGAAGAAATAAAAATGAGAGCAAAAACAAGTTATAGCTGATGTCTGTTTTAAATTCATGCTAAACAAATATATTTAGATATAGAAAGAAAAAAAAGTGGAAAGAAATAAGTAATCCGGTGTAGGCTACCATATCTGCTCAGGTCCTTCGCATGGCTGTGACTAGGGTTGCCAACACCTCGTGTGCCAGCTGACCCGATTGTCCTTACCCCTCCTGGTGTGGTGATATTTTTTTAGCCCTACTTTGTGTGTGATTTTTTTTTTTTTTTAATCTGTTTAACTCAAATCTGCATTGGATTAGATGCATATTTGTGAGTAACATGAACACATGGAAAACAAATTATTATCCTGCAATTGACTTTAATAGAAATTAAACTTTGCTGAATAAAATAAGTATCTTAAACATAAGCCTGTCCTGCTTAACTTCAAACTGTAAAAATGAATAGAAAACAAATAAATGGTGTGTACATTTTTGGTGCAACAGCAAACTTGTTAACATATTTGTGTCTTAAGTGCAATAACTGTAGGCTATGGTTGTAAAACAGAAAAAAATTATTATGAGGATTAGGGGATTCTGGATCGTTACATATGTTATCAGCTCATTGGTCACAACACAGGACAGGGCCCTGTAACAAATTTACCGTAAGTTTTGTATCTAACGTGCCCTTGTCTTTCATTTTCCATTAGCTTTTTAAGGACTATTTTTTTTACTGTCACAGTAATATGGGACAGAGTGTGTTCCTTTTCCACTAAATATGGGACAGGTACTTCTATTTCTAAATGCAGAATGATTCCGTTTTTCAAGGGGCAGTTGGCAACCCTACCAGTGACATGATTGGCTGAACGTTGCCATATGATGTAAAACACAGCGGTTGCCCAAACAACGACAATAACATCATGCAGCGTCCGTTAGCCACGCTAACGGACGCTGCATGATGTCTAATGACCGATGGATTTTTACCTGATCGATAACAAAACTGTATTGGAAAATGTGACCAACATATGAAATCCCATGTGAAATTCATCTGATATTCATAGGACTTTATTTATAAGGGGAGATTGAAAGAAGAGTTATGGCTGCTCCAGTCTGTAGTCAAAGAGCAAAGGTTTCAATTTACTGGTTCATCTAAGTTAAGACCCTATACCTATAGGTATGAAATACAGATTCTGGATAAAAGCTTTTGCAGGACTCTATAAGTGAGGTTTACGGGGGGATAAACGTAGAGTTTCTGCTCCTCTGTATAGAAAGGAGTCATTTGAAGAGGTTTAAGATTCTGATTAGGATGCTGCTCAGCTGGAGAGTTGATTCTGGAAGGACAAGGAAGTATGACCAGATAACAGCTCTGGACGGATGCACAGATGGAGGAGAATTAAAAATGTCTGTCTCTATACCTATAGAACAAATATAAGGAAAGTGGGAAGAAGAGCCAGACTGTTAGCGCTTACTCCCAGCTACCAGAAACCAGTGAAATCCAGTTTGCCAAAGCTGTTTCAGAAATTCAAAGCGAGGTAAGTTTCATTATTCTGTCTTAGTTGGATCTCCTGTAAACATTCATTATGTGTCTGTGCCTTTAGATTCTCTGCTCACGTTTCAGGTCAAATATAAAGAAGCAGGACGAAAAGAAGCATCCAGCTCTCTGTACTCAAAGCTCCCTGAAACTCTGGAGACTAAACACGCCAAAGAGGCTTCACAGCTGCAGAGTCAGGTATCCCATCTGGTCGCCCTCTCTAAGGACGCCCTCCTTTCTGGTCAAGCTTTAAATGCTGTAAAATCTTTTCTCAGGTGAACTACAAACAGCCGATGAATGGGTCTCTGTATCATCATCTACCTGAGACCTCTGAGACGCGGCTGGCTAAGGAGCTGAGCGACGTTTGCAGTGAGGTAAAAGCTCAGTGAGGCGTCTCTGGTGGCTGGGACTGAAAGTGCTGCAGTCAGCTGTGATGCTTTATTTCCTCAGGTGAAATACAGAGAGGAGGGACAGAAGGAGATCAGCAAGAACCTGTTCTCACACCTCCCAGAGACGGCAGAGACGCAGTTCGCCAAGGAGATGTCAGAGATCCAGAGCCAGGTCCCTGAATGCACCATCCATCCATCATTCCATCCATCCATCCATCTATCCACCATCCATCCATCCATCCATCATCCATCCATCCATCCATCCATCCATCCATCCATCCCACCCATAACTCTATCCACCATCCATTTATCCATCCATCATCCATCCATCCATCCATCCATCCATCCATCCATCCATCATCCATCCATCCATCCATCCATCCATCCATCCATCCATCATTCCACCCATAACTCTATCCACCATCCATTTATCCATCCATCATCCATCCATCCATCCATCCATCCATCATCCATCCATCCATCCATCCATCCATCCATCCATCCATCCATCCATCCATCATTCCACCCATAACTCTATCCACCATCCATTTATCCATCCATCATCCATCCATCCATCCATCTATCCACCATCCATCCATCCATCCATCATCCATCCATCCATCCATCCATCATCCATCCATCCATCCATCCATCCATCCATCATTCCACCCATAACTCTATCCACCATCCATCCATCCATCATCCATCCATCCATCCATCCATCATTCCACCCATAACTCTATCCACCATCCATTTATCCATCCATCATCCATCCATCCATCCATCCATCCATCCATCCATCATTCCACCCATAACTATCCACCATCCATCCATCCATCCATCATTCCACCCATAACTCTATCCACCATCCATCCATCCATCCATCCATCCATCATTCCACCCATAACTCTATCCACCATCCATTTATCCATCCATCATCCATCCATCCATCCATCCATCCATCCATCCATCCATCCATCCATCCATCCATCATTCCACCCATAACTCTATCCACCATCCATTTATCCATCCATCCATCATCCATCCATCCATCCATCCATCATTCCACCCATAACTCTATCCACCATCCATTTATCCATCCATCATCCATCCACCCATCCATCCATCATTCCACCCATAACTCTATCCACCATCCATTTATCCATCCATCATCCATCCATCCATCCATCTATCCACCATCCATCCATCCATCCATCCATCCATCCATCATTCCACCCATAACTCTCCACCATCCATCCATCCATCCATCCATCCATCTATCCACCATCCATCCATCCATCCATCCATCCATCCATCCATCCATCCATCATTCCACCCATAACTCTCCACCATCCATCCATCCATCATCCATCCATCATTCCATCCATCCATCCATCCATCTATCCACCATCCATTTATCCATCCATCATCCATCCATCCATCATCCATCCATCCATCCATCCATCCATCCATCCATCATTCCACCCATAACTCTCCACCATCCATTTATCCATCCATTTATCCATCCATCCATCATTCCATCCATCCATCAATCCATCCATCCATCCATCCATCTATCCACCATCCATTTATCCATCCATCATCCATCCATCCATCCATCCATCCATCCATCCATCTATCCACCATCCATCCATCCATCATCCATCCATCCATCCATCCATCATTCCATCCATCCATCCATCTATCCACCATCCATTTATCCATCCATCATCCATCCATCCATCCATCATCCATCCATCCATCCATCATCCATCCATCCATCCATCATTCCACCCATAACTCTCCACCATCCATTTATCCATCCATTTATCCATCCATCATTCCATCCATCCATCCATCTATCCACCATCCATCCATCCATTTATCCATCCATCATCCATCCATCATTCCATCCATCCATCCATCTATCCACCATCCATCCATCCATCTATCCAGCATCCATCCATCCATCATCCATCATCCATCCATCATTCCATCCATCCATCTATCCACCATCCATCCATCCATCATCCATCCATCCATCCATCATTCCACCCATAACTCTATCCACCATCCATCCATCCATCCATCATCATTCAATCCATCCATCCATCCATCCATCCATCCATCATCCATCCATCCATCCATCCATCATTCAATCCATCATTCCATCCATCCATCATCCATCCATCCATCCATCCATCCATCCATCCATCATTCAATCCATCCATCCATCATCCATCCATCATCCATCATCATTCAATCCATCCATCCATCCATCCATCCATCATTCAATCCATCCATCCATCATTCCATCCATCCATCATCCATCCATCCATCCATCCTTCAATCCATCCATCCATCATCCATCCATCATCCATCATCATTCAATCCATCCATCCATCCATCATTCAATCCATCATTCCATCCATCCATCATCCATCCATCCATCCATCCATCCATCATTCAATCCATCCATCCATCATCCATCATCCATCCATCATCCATCCATCATTCAATCCATCTTTCAATCCATCCATCAATACATCCATCATCCATCCATCCATCATTCAATCCATCCATCCATCCATCCTTCAATCCATCCATCCATCATCCATCCATCATCCATCATCCATCCATCATCCATCCATCATTCAATCCATCTTTCAATCCTTCCATCAATACATCCATCATCCATCCATCCATCATTCAATCCATCCATCCATCCATCCATCCATCCATCCATCCATCCATCATTAATTTGATCCATCCATCCACAATCCATCCAGCTTTCATCCATCATTCATTTCATCCATTAATCCGTCCATCCATTCATTAAAAAAAAGTTCTTATTCATAATTCATCCCAATTTCAGGATTAATTTAGCACCACCTTGCCTGGCATTTATCTAAATATGTTTGTGTCCTTTTCTTTCTGTCTAGTCAAAGTATAAGAAGGACTTGGAGGATCTGTCCAACACTCTGTACTCGCTGCTGCCTGAAACTCTAGAGACGCAGTTTGTGAAGGAGATGGCAGATACTCACAGTGAGGTGAGGACACCTCCATTTGGATTTAGATTTTTATTTACTTCTGTTATTATTTTCTATTATCTGCTTGTTTGTACGAAATTGAATCAGCTGTAACAGAAAAGACTGTCGAAAGGTGAAATGCTTCTTAAATGCTCCTCTTAGTTGCACTGGTTTTATTTGAAGTTTGGAACAGAAAAGTTTATGGTAAAAATATGAACATCATTCAAACTTCCTTAAGGGCAGAATTAGGACTTGTTAGGGTTTGGTTGAGATTTTGAGGGCCCAAATGCAGAGGTGAGGAGGAATAGGTGAGTTTTATAGATTTAATGAAGTACTCACAGGCAACTGAGGCAGGAATCCAAAAATCCAACATAAAATTCAGAAAAAAATAGGACATTGGAGACATCAGGGAAAACAAAAATGAGGATTAAGAAAAAGACAAGGGACCAGCACTGAGGAGCTGCACAGGGAGAGTATATATTGCAGACTGAACAAAGACAGGACTAATGAGCTGATTGGGAGCAGGTGTGGACAGAGAATTCTAGAAGGGAGCTGGGGTAAAGGAGACCAACACAAGAGGGCGACAGAGGGAACCCAAGAAAAACCTAAGAACTCAAATACATCCAGAAAACACCACAAAACAGGAATTAAATGAATGAAACTAGAAAACAAAGAAAAACATGAATCAAAGTGAAACTGAAAACCCCCCAAAAACGTAAACAGAACCAAGACCGTGACAGGACTGAAATAAATATACTTTTTTTATGCTCTTACTTTAAAAAAACTTAAATTCCAAGGTACTTCAAGTAAAACTATGCAGATAAATGTCTCGAAAAACAAAGGCCCCATTAGAAAGCCCAGAGGAATGCCACTCCAAGATATCAGAATGAAATAAATCAGCTTTCAAACACGGACAATGTTTTAACTAAGCCTTTATCTTTGGCTTCACATCGAGTCAGTGAGAAAAAAACTACTGAAACATTTTTGATCTAAATCTAAAATAGAAACATCAGTAAAACATCCTAAAGGACAGAATAAGCTGCTGAGGCGCTCCAACATGTTAACATGTAGATAAACTAGCTGCTGATTTCTATTCTGGTCTCATTATCTGAGACACTTTCAGAGTTGCTGGTAGCTTCTGCTCCTCACCGTCTGAGTTTGCTTTGTCCTCTCAGAGATTACAGCTGGATCGGCTCTCATCTGTTTGTTCCTGTCTCTGAGAACATGGAGTGATTCTCCCTGTTTCATGTTCTCCCTGCAGGTTAAGTACAGGGAAGCAGGGAAGAAGGAGGCCAGCAGCTCTCTGTACCACCAACTGCCTGAAACTTTGGAGACGCGGCGTGTTAAAGAGGTTACTGAGCTGCAGAGCGAGGTACAATCATCTATTATTCACCGTCACTCATTCACTTTTTATCACTGAATATTGGAGCAAACATTTCAGAGACTGAAGCAGATAGAGTTCCTTTCTTGTTGTTTTACAGGCTTCTGTTGTTTTTTAGCCAATGAAGTTTAGACTTGTTTTTTTGTGTAAAGTTGGAGCTGCAAACAAACTCAGTTTTCTCACTTTGCTGCACTTCCTTCAGAAAGAGTCGAGCCAGAACTAAAAGCTTTAATGACTGATCATATCGAGCACTTTGAAGATGCTCTGTGAATAACTTCATTTATCTGCCATGCTGTTTGTGGGAGGAAAAAAGCTTCTCCACATTTTCATTCTCAGGAACTAGAGCATTCATGTAAAATAATCAGACATTCTGGAGAAAAACTAGGAGAAATAACCATCAAATTGTTTTCCTGTGGTTTTCTCCACTCTCACTAAGGGTTAATATGTTCTTTCTGGGATCTAAAATGGAGATGATGACGACACCCTTTGGCTGAATCAAGCTCAGAGCAGAACATTTGTTTGCAGCCACAAAGTGATCCAATGGCATTCTGATTTTTGACTGTTTAGTGGCAGAAAAACACAAAAAAGCCTTCAGCTTAAACTTCCTGTGTGTGTAGTGATAAGAAGTCTGCTTCTTTAAGATTGTTTAGTGGATCTTGATGTTGTAATTGTTTATAATTCTGTTTCCACCTCTGGTATGAAATTCCTTCTGTATGATTAAAAAACAATTACGTTATTAAATCAAGGTGCGTGTTAACAGCCATTGCAATCTGAAAAACTCATATGGAGAGAAAAGACAATTAGAAGAAATGTATTGATTCAATTACCTTAGTCTTTGGCGCTCAGACCTCGGCAGGAAACACAGCGCTGAATTATGATTGATATGCATGAACAGGAGTAAAGGATGTTTCCCTCTGGCAGGCTCGGACTGGGAACGATTTGCAGAACTCGCATTTTTCCATCTACACCGGCCCACTTATGGATGCCTAACAATGCATGCTAAACCCCATCATGCACCGCAACATGTTTTTGTAAATTTTCAAACTTAAATTCGCCAAATATAAGAGGAGCATCATAGTTTGGTTTAAACAAAGATTTTTAGTTTTATTATGATTTAGTTTGGTGCCAGGATTTTACAGTTTGAAGAAATAGAAAATTACATCATATGCAAACCGTCACAAGGATGTGCATGACAAGGAAGGGCTATATATACTGTATGTATGATTTAGGGAGTTAACATTATATTACTTCTTGAGCTCCTTGAGTTATTTACTGTCAGAGGTAGGAGCTTCGGCCGGAGTGTAAGTGTTGGGGCCAATATGAATTAAGGAGGGCCGGCCCTCGCACGCTGAAATTAGGACTGGCCCACCGAGCAAATGCCCAGTATCACAGATCACCAGACCCTGCCTGCCTCTAGGCCTGAAACTGGTGGTGGAGTGGAGATAGATGAAGTTGGTCAGTCTGTAGACTGCTGGTTAGCGAAACAGTATGCTGAGCTTTATGGGGAGATCCAGTTGCCGATCGGAGGCCTTTGGATGAACTTTGGATGCTGATTGGCTTTCGTGGAGGCGTGGTTCGAAGCTGATTGGCTGTGTCGCAGGCGGATGAAGGCGAGTAATCAATTTATTTAGCTGAACTTCCGCCTAGGCTCCATTTCAAAAACTTATGATGATTTATTGCAAATATACTTCTCTTTTAGGTTATAATATTTAGAGAATACATTTTTTATGTACTTTAGGTAAAAGTATTCAACTATAATTCAGTCCCAAATACAAAGCCCTGATGAATGCCACTCTCAATATTAAAATCTATAACATACATCATAACAAATCACAACACTGATTCCTTTAATCTGGAAACAATCTGGATGAATAGATTAGTTCTGTGAGGACTCAGCTGCTGAACCTCTGCTTCCTTTCAGAACAAGTACAAGGAAGGTGGGAAGAAGTCTATGTTGTGTAGTTTGTACGCTCAGCTGCCTCAGACTGCAGAGACGGAGCTCGCCGCCAAAGTGTCTGACCTGCTGAGTGAGGTAAAATACCAGGAAGTGTCTCTGCTGTTAATGCAGCAGGATGTATGCTGCTTAGATCATCTCTCCTACAGCATCAAGGCGCTCTGACACAACTTTTATCCCTTTAAATTTGGTTTCTATTTCAGCTTTCTGCTCCATCATCTTTTTCTCCTTTCCTGCAGAATAAATATAAAGAGGATGGTTTGAGGAGCCTCTCCCATAGCCTTTATTCTCAGCTGCCTGAAACCACTGAGACTACCTTCGCTAAAACTGTCTCTGAGCTGCAAAGTGAGGTAAAAGTAATTTGATGCTTTGCTACGTATTTAGTATAAACAGCCTTAAAATCATGTTTTGGTGCCAATACTGGAATTTTGTCAGCTTTTTTGATTGATTTCTTCAGGCTAAATACAAGGAGGTGAGCAGAAAGGAGGCGAGCAGCTGCCTGTACCACCAGCTGTCTGAAACCCTCGAGACGCGACATGCTAAAGAAGCCACTGAGCTGCAGAGTCAGGTAGAGACGCAGAGCTGCTGTTACAGCAGAGCAAACCAGCGCAGAGTTCTGGGCAAAATTAGAGCTACAAAACAGGATTAATTGTTAGTTGCTTTATCTGTAAATATTTTTTTAGATTATTAATTAGGAAGCAAAATGTGCCTTAAAGATGATTTATACAGAATTTCACCCAGATATAGCTTAAACTACTGGATAGAACAGGGTTTTTATTCTAAGTGTTTATAGATTTTAACAATTTCAGCATAATTACTGCTCTGGGTGTGTTTCTGTTTAACCAAATGGCATCTCTTAGAGTCTATAATCTCCAGTTAACAATTAATCAATCATTTAATGACATAATTATTATTCAAATAAAGGTTTAATCTAATTGATTCCCACACCTCCAGTTAAAACCAGTTTACTCCACTGATCTCTATTTAATCACTGGGTTGGTGCTCGTCCATTGGTAGTACGGGGTTGAAGTGAAGCCTCCACCTCAGGCGGACTTAAGACTTTTAAAATAAAGATATATTCATCACTTTGACACACACTGACTGTTTCATAGGATCAGTAGATTAACTTATAATAGAAAAATAGGGACATCAAATTGCATAGCCATTATGAAGTCAATTAAGTCTCTAAATCACGTTATATAATATATTATACAAATCCATAAGAACAAAATAAATGTGTTAATGGAGCATGATAATACAGATGAGCCAAAAGTGCATAGACATGTATTTATTAAATTGTTACGTTAATTACATCTTACATGTCCGATAATGCATTTTATATATATATATATATATATGGGGTCAAATGTTTTAGTTGCTTTTTATTTCATCAATATAACAGCGTCATCCACTTAATAAAGAGTGACCACATTTACATTTCAAAGTTCATTATTTTCTATTCACTCTATTTTCTTTTTTCTAACATTAGACACAATGTCGATGGGTAACTCAGTCAATGTCTTCCAGTCAGTCTGAGATAGCCAGACTAATGTTACACATACTATACTATAGGATACATCAGTATATATGTGGAATTTTATGGTTATACATCCACTGACAGTGAAATCCCATTGGGTTTTGATATTTAACCAAAATTGGATTTATCCTGCTGTTATTTTTGCTTTCCTGAAAAACAAACAAAAACAATTCCTATTCACCGATGGAATATTTTAATAATTGATAATCTGGGGTTTTGATTTAAACGAATAATTAACTTGATATTGTCCATCCATCCAACAACAGCGTCTGAATTTTCTTTTTTTTTTTTTTCCCGCTATTCGTCTGAAACATTGAATGAATCCAAAGCACAGTGTGGCTGAAAAACCAACCTTTTGAGTCATAAGATGCATGTTTTTCTGTTTAAATTATATCCTGCTTCCATAGTTTATGGCCACCATAGTTTGTTTTCCTGAAAAACACCTTTTTTGCAGACATCTCTGTAGAGATTCTCCTATAATCAGTGGCGGTTCTAGACCAAATGTACCAAAGGGCAAGGAGTTGGCCAGCGTGTTTTCATGGGGGATTAGAAAAGCATGAAATAAAAAACAGGGAAAGAGATTCAAATATATTAAGATAGCTGCATGAATTGAAATTTCTATTCAGTTAGGTTTAATTAAAGTTCGTATTAGGTCAATATACATTCAGAATTTTAGAATTAAACATATTTTTGAATTAATTTAAGTTAAAATAATCGTTTACTTCGTCTTAATTAAAACTCAAAAACTGATAAATTCAGCTTTAAAAATTAGAGTATCTTTTTTTATTTGTTGTTGTTGAAAAAAAACATTTAGCAGATGAAAACTGGGATCCTATCTCAGTACCACTGAAGCTATCACCTTATTGGTTTTAAATAATTAGTAAAACAGAATTTGTAAAGAAAAAAGTGAAATTGATCCAAAGGACCTGTCAGTAACCATGTCTGTTCCAGTGTATATCATCATTAGAATTTCTTTTTAGTATTATGACTTCAGTACAGGGGCCATAACAGGGGCCAGGACATGATCTACAGGGGCACTGGCCCCCGTTTGCCCCTGTCTAGAACCGGCCATGCCTATATTGCAGTAGAAGATTTGTTCCTATTAGTTATAGCCAGTGTTTGCTAAAGTAATAAAAAGGCAGGAGTAAAAGCAGCACAGTGACAGCTGGCTAAATGGTGATATTAGCACGTTACAGATGAAGGACTGGCAAACACTGAGAAAAATAGATTTGTTTTTCACCAACGCTGACATGTCAATCATCTCCAGGTGAAATACAGAGAGGCTAAAAAGGAGCTTAACACCAACCTGTACTCTCAGCTGCCAGAGACGGACCAGATGAAGTTTGCCAAAGCTGTCATGGAGCTGCAGAGTGAGGTAGGGGAGAAACTTCTGTTTTTAATGGGAGTAAAGCTTCATTTCACTCTTTTAATGTGATTTTTTTTTTTATTGTTTTTTTCCAGAACAAATACAAGCAGAAAGGAAGGCAAGAGATCAGCAGTACTGTTTTCCACCAAATGCCTGAAACCAAGGAGATGGAGTTTTTCAAACAGATCTCAGAACTGCAGAGCGAAGTAAGACATTTAAACGGGGGACAATATTTCTGCTCAGATTCATTTAGCATAAAATCTGATATTTGCAAAATGTTTTAAAGGTATTAAAACCTATGAGACCTATGAGCCTATTTGAAATAGATTAAAAAAGAAAAGAGTGAGATTTAGTAAATTATTGTCCTATAACGTGAACGCAACCTGGGTCTGCAACACACAGAAATCATCAGTTTTTAGGTGAATATATGTGTTATTAAAGTCGTGGGGAAGTCATATTTAAATGTCAAGTAATTCTGGCTTAAGCATGTTTATAAATTGACTCTTTATCAGACCATATTGTCCCAAAAGTTAAAACTTTTCTATTCTGTCTTAAAATCTGTGCTGTTGTTTTTTTCACGTTATCTTATGCAGGCCAGTTAGTTATACATCAGCCTGAACACCTAAATTCGGCCAATCATATATCAACAGGCATTCGGCAATCTAATTTTTTCGGTCATAGCATCTTTATTCATATGTCGCAGCTAATATACGCAATGGTTAAAATCAGAATCATTTCCTTTCCCATTGCATTCCATCCCAGTGTTCACGGGGATGGACGTCTGTGTCTTCAGCAGGCGTAGAGCTAACAGAACTGGCAGCGTTGCGAGGCAAGGGCTCAAACATGGTTAGCAAGATGCCCCCCCCCCCCGATAATTTACCAATCACATTAACTTTACTCACTCTTGTAAAGTCGGGACCCACTCAGGAGAATTCGGAAATGCAACGATTGGAACAGCCGCTTCCCTACGACTTTAATTAAACTTCACAATAATACTATAACAACTAGGCCTGCAACTAACAATTATTTTACAAATCAATTAATTTTTCGTTATTTTTTGGATTAATCAGTTAATAATCAGATATTAAAAGGTTCCTTAAAGAAGACTTTTTACGAAATTAAACCAAGTGAAACCAAAACAGTTCCATATTAACATAGCGTATTGACAGAAGAAAAAGTTTTTTTGTCTTAAATGCAAAATGTTTATATATTTGTTTTACGATATTGGATGTAATTGCTGCTCAAAGGTTGTCGATCTGATCAAATGCATATTTGACAGTCTCTAAACTCCAGTTAAAGATGAATCAATAACTAAATTAGTTGACAATTATTATACCAATTGATTAATCATGAAGAAGAATTTGTGAACTTGTGTTGATTACCCCTAGCAATAATGAAATTAAAATCCAAATATAGGTAATACATAAGAAATGTATAAATTGTGAAAAGTATTTGTAATACATTTTTTTCTAAATCTCCCTCTCGCCACTAAGGTGTGTTGCAGCACCCCTAGCACCCCCACTTCCCACGGCCAAGGGTACATATCCAAAAGATGAGGGAGTGATTGGCTAATGAGTGACCACACAGTCTCCAACATTGTTTCCGATTCCCCTGAAATGAATTAGTAATATGAGGAGTCATAAAATACCTAATTAGGTTTTTACACCCAAATTCACTCTAGCTTTGGAACTAGTGGATGATTACTGCGTGTTAAACATTTTAAGCCAATTTTTAGCCATTTAATTTTTTGTTTCAAATACATTGCGTTGTTTACAAATTCATTTTAATGTTAACTTTTGGCTTTTTGTTCTATTGTAGTCAAAGTATAAAAAGGACTTGGAGGATTTGTCCAACACTCTGTACTCGCTGCTGCCTGAAACTCAGGAGACACAGTTTGCTAAAGAGATGGGAGAGACTCACAGTGAGGTACGTTCATACAATATAATTTTATTTAGGTTTGTTACGATGACAGATAAACTAAAATAACATCATGATGTTTACATGAGAGGTCTGTTAGGAGATGCTGTTTTCTGATGGGTTTCTTAGTACATCTACTTATTTGGTTTAATTAATGTAATTGCAGACTAAAAAGAATATAGTATACTGCTATTAGTTATGAGTATCATGTATATCAGTATGAATATGTACGTATATCAGTTAAACTGCCTTAAAATGTATTCTTTAGGTAAGAAGAGAACAGTGTCATCCACAAATGTGTTGACATGTCCATGTTTAACTGGTTTATTTTTAAATTTTTTGCAATTAAATTAACAAAAAAATCTATAGACATGTGTAAATTTGGAAGTATTATCAGAAGTATCCAGTATGTCGTGCCAACAGTTGGACCTCATGGTTCAAGCTTATGACATGCTGACATAAGTAAATTGTTACTGTGTGGTGCATCTATGGAGGTACAGATGTGTCAAAGTCACTGGAAATTTGACAGAACTTAAAAAGCTTAAAAAAACTAAAAACATCCAAAAAGTCTGAGGCATACAGACCTCATCTTCTTAGTGGGTGAAAACAGGGCAAGGCAAGTCTATATGTATAGCACAATTCAGCACATGGCCAATTCAAAGGGCTTTACATGAATTAGAGAATACATTAAAAAATAAAATCAGAATAAAAGCAAATAAAGATAAAAAAAAAAAAAAACATTTTTAAAACAAATAAAGCAATTGGACCACAACCTTTGACTAATAATGCCTCAGTTAACAGTACAACTTCAATAGTCAAAGGCAGCTCTAAATTAATGGGTGTTTAACTTTGACTTCAAAGAACTCAGCCTTTCAGCTCTTTTCCAGTCGTCTGTGTCATGATTGGTTTTAGATTAAACCCACATGCAGAACACAAACGGAGGCTGAGTAAAAGTTTAACAGAGTTTATTGAATATGTTTAGACACAAAGACAAGAACTGGATCTGGTACTGGTCCGGGTTGGGTTCACTGATGTCTGCAGAGATGGACAGTTTGATTAGCCAGGCAGTCAGATGATTAATTGAGTCTTTAAGATAATTCTGAGTCTATCTTGAAGGAGTCCAGGCTTTACTTGTGAGAGAGGGAACCATTGGGTCCAGAGACTGTTGGTTCAGCAGAGTGCACAAGCAGCAGCAGCGTCTAGCTTCTGACTTTGAATGGCAGACCTTGATCAGAGTTTCCAGCTCTTCTCTGAGAGCAGCAGGAGGAATCCAGACTGGAATCTTCAGGTTTGGCTCACCAGGGCTGGCAGGCAGGTTAAGCTCACCCAGAGCATCAGGCTTGAGACAGGTTTCCTGTGAGCAAAGACAGAGGCAGATTAGAATCAGTTTTCTCACTTGAGACGACTAAGATTCTTTCTGGTAACAGAGGCTCAGGTTGCTAACCAAACTAAGGTCAACACTGCGGCCTTGAAGGAAGGTCTGGCAGCTGCTTATGTAGGGAAGGTTCCTGATGAGCAGACGAGCTCCAGGTGTGCTTGAGGGCTCCAGCCCAGGAGACCCACGGTGCACTCTGCTGGAGAAAGGTGGTACATCCCCAGATCCCAACAGTAACCCCAGTCCCTAAAAGAAAACAAAAAACAGAAGAGGATCCTCGGCGCCCTCTGGCGAGCCCCCCCCCCCCTCAAGGGCGGATTCCAGACGCCCTCAAAACACTCCATAAAAAAAAAAAGCAAACAAAAAACAACCCACCCAGGGCGGACAGAGGGGGCACCAGGCAAGGAGGGCAAGAAACGACAAAAACAGCGTCCAAAACCAAAAACAACCCACCCAGGGTGGGCGGAGGGGGAACCAGGCAAGGAGGCCAAAAAACAAAAACTAAATCTGGAACAAAAAACGATCCACTTACGGTGGATGAAAGCAAAAAAAATCCCAGGCGATTTCTTAGGCAGAGTCTCAGGTGGCCGGCCGTGGGACCGGCAGCGGGGCAGAGTCTCTGGTGGCCGGCCGTGGGACCGGCAGTGGGGCAGAGTCTCCGGTGGCCGGCCGTGGGACCGGCAGCGGGGCAGAGTCTCCGGTGGCCGGCCGTGGGACAGGCAGTGGGGCAGAGTCTCCGGTGGCCGGCCGTGGGACCGGCAGCGGGGTAGAGTCTCAGGTGGCCGGCAGCGGGGCAGAGTCTCAGGCGGCCGGCCGTGGGATCGGCGGCGAGGCAGAGGCTCCGGTGGCCGACCGTGGGGCCGGCAGCGAGGCAGAGTCTTAGGTGGCCAGCTGAGGGGCCGAAGACATGGCAGAGGTTCTGGGGGCCGGCCGAGGGTCCGGTAGCGGAGCAGAGTCTTAGGTGGCCGGCTGCGGGGTCGGAGGCGAAGTTGACGCTCTGGAGGTCGACCGCGGGGCCGGAGGCGAAGCTGACGCTCTGGAGGTCGACCGCGGGGCCGGAGGTGAAGCTGACGCTCTGGAGGTCGACCGCAGGGCCGGAGGCGAAGCAGCTTCTTAGGAGGATGATCCCCCATTTTCAGTAGGTAGCCCCATGGGGTACCCTGTCCTCTCTTAAGCGGCTCTGGAACAGACTCTGAGATGATCGCTGACTGCGGCTCAGGAACAGGCTCTGAGTTGACCGCCGACTGCGGCTCTGGAACAGGCTCTGAGGTGACCGCCGACTGCGGCTCTAGAACAGGCTCTGAGGTGACCGCCGACTGCGGCTCAGGAACAGGCTCTGAGGTGACCGCCGACTGCGGCTCCTGGACTGGAACAGAGGAGCCCGCCGATTGCGGCTCCGGATCAGGAACAGAGGAGCCCGCCGATTGCGGCTCCGGATCAGGAATAGAGGAGCCCGCCAATTGCGGCTCCGGATCAGGAACAGAGGAGCCCGCCGATTGCGGCTCCGGATCAGGAACAGAGGAGCCCGCCGATTGCGGCTCCCAATCAGGAACAGGGGAGACCACAGACTGTGGCTCCCAATCAGGAACTGAGGAGACCACCGACTGTGGCTCCACATCAGGAACGGAGGAGACCACCGACTGTGGCTCCACATCAGGAACGGAGGAGACCACCGACTGTGGCTCCCAATCCTGCATGGGGGAAACCACCCATGGCAGCAAAGGTTCAGTCTCTGAAGTGACTTGTGATGCTCGTAGAGGGCTCCTTGCGGTCAGTGGCGCCTGTAGAGAGGTCCTAGGAGGGGTAAAACCACATCCTTCGAATTCTGACATCTCTTTAAAGTTCTGCTCAGGGGTCTCTGGACGGCACAGAGCTAACTCAGGGGTCTCTAGACGGCACAGAGCTAACTCAGGGGTCTCTAGACGGCACAGAGCTAATTCAGGGGTCTTTAGACGGCTAAGAATCGGCTCGGGAGTCTCTTGGCTGCTTGGAGCAGGTTCAGGGGTCTCTAAACGGCACGGAGTTGACTCAGGGGTTTCAAAACAGCACGGAACTGACTCAGGGGTTTCAAAACAGCACGGAACTGACCCAAGACGGCTCACGGCTGGCTCAGGGGTCTTTAGACGGCTCAGAACTGGCTCAGGGGTCTCTAGATGGCTCAGAGCTGGTTCAGGCGTCTCTAGACGGCTCAGAGCGGGCTTACGGCGATGCCGTCTCTTATGTCGGGGGGGTCTTAGAAGCTGGGCTAATGGGTTCACGGACTGATTCAGGAGTCGAGCTATCTGGTGTGCAAGTGGGTTCAGGTGCTGGTTTAGCTGGATTGCTAACAGGTTTAAGAGTTGGATTAACTGGTTCGTGGACTGGTTCAGACAAAAGGCTAACTGGTGTGCTAATGGATTCAGAGGCTAAACTAACTGGTTGGTAGGGAGATGAATGAGGTGGCATAAAGGGGAAGAGATCCTCTCTATCCCAATAGAAAAAATTCCAGAGGTCCGACTCTTGGATCTGGGGAGCTCTGACTGTAGAAGGTGAGTATACTGGACTTATTCTAAGCTTCTTGGTGGATGGTGCTAACTGACGATCATGTAAGTGGTGGCAGAAACTGACCTGACGAAGAGACGGACTGAACAAGGCTGTACAGAGCTGTACTGGGCAGGACTGCGCTGGACTGCACTGGACTGGACTGGACTGAACAGGACTGGACTGGACTGGGCTGAACTGGGCTGAGCTAGGTTGAACTGGTTTCCTAGATCTGGGCTTGGCTCTGGCTCGTAGTCTGTGATCTTGATATATGGCTATACGAATGAGTTCTTCCAGGGTTGCAGGTTCATCTATAGTTGCAAGTTTGATTCTGATTTCTTTATTTAATGCGTTTTTGTAGATGTTCTTTAGCATGGCATCACTCCAGCCAGAAGCTGCGGCTCTGACCTGGAAGTCAATCGAAAATTCCTCTACGGTTCTATTTCCTTGTGTGAATTTGGACAGACCATGAGACTCAGCTGATTTAACGGAGAATTTTAAAGTGAATTCATTTAGAAATTGATCTAAGGTGCAGGTTATACAAGATTCAGGAGAAAAATGAGTCTCTTTCCACTCGCGGGCTTTACCGGATAACTGTGAGAGGATAAACACAATCTTACTCTCGTCGTCAGGGAAAAGGGACGGATTGAGTTCAAAGAACAATTTACATTGCCACAGAAAACTTTTACATTCACTAGATTCACCAGAAAATAGTGAGGGACGGAAAACAGGAAGTAACGGAGCTGGTTCTGACCTTGGAACTGAAACCGGAAGTGACAGGCGGAATTCCGGAAGTGACAAGACTGGCTCTTCCCCTTGAGGCGGAGTTGACTCCGGAACCGGAAGTTGAGCTGGCGCCATGTTGTGATTCCTTATGTTGCCTGCTAATTCCTGAAAAGTTTGTTCCTTTAACACAAAACTGGGATTTAGCTCACGGAAAGTTGAGTCGTGTTTATGGATCTGAGTAGCTTGTTCCTCAAGCCTCCTCCGGAGGGTGTCTGCTGGGTTTTGTTTGTGGCCGCAGTGTTCTGTCATGATTGGTTTTAGATTAAACCCACATGCAGAACACAAACGGAGGCTGAGTAAAAGTTTAACAGAGTTTATTGAATATGTTTAGACACAAAGACAAGAACTGGATCTGGTACTGGTCCGGGTTGGGTTCACTGATGTCTGCAGAGATGGACAGTTTGATTAGCCAGGCAGTCAGATGATTAATTGAGTCTTTAAGATAATTCTGAGTCTACCTTGAAGGAGTCCAGGCTTTACTTGTGAGAGAGGGAACCGTTGGGTCCAGAGACTGTTGGTTCAGCAGAGTGCACAAGCAGCAGCAGCGTCTAGCTTCTGACTTTGAATGGCAGACCTTGATCAGAGTTTCCAGCTCTTCTCTGAGAGCAGCAGGAGGAATCCAGACTGGAATCTTCAGGTTTGGCTCACCAGGGCTGGCAGGCAGGTTAAGCTCACCCAGAGCTTCAGACTTGAGACAGGTTTCCTGTGAGCAAAGACAGAGGTGGATTAGAATCAGTTTTCTCACTTGAGACGACTAAGATTCTTTCTGGTAACAGAGGCTCAGGTTGCTAACCAAACTAAGGTCAACACTGCGGCCTTGAAGGAAGGTCTGGCGGCTGCTTATGTAGGGAAGGTTCCTGATGAACAGACGAGCTCCAGGTGTGCTGGAGGGCTCCAGCCCAGGAGACCCACGGCGCACTCTGCTGGAGAAAGGTGGTACATCCCCAGATCCCAACAGTAACCCCAGTCCCTGAAAGAAAACAAAAAACAGAAGAGGATCCTCTGCGCCCTCTGGTGGGCAAGCCTCAGGATCCCAACAGTCTGGGAGTTTGTTCCAGATCAGTGGAGCAAAGATGCTGCTTCTCCGTGTTTGGTTCTAGTTCTGGGTGGACAGAGTAGGCTGGAACTAGAAGACCTGAGTGGTCTGGGAGGTTGATCCACTGACAACAGATCTTATATGTGTTGAGGTGCTGATCTATTCAGTGATTTCTAGACTAACAGAAGGATTTTAAAGTCAATTCTCTGAGCTACAGGGAGCCAGAGGAAGGACTTTAGAACCAGGCTGATGTGCTCTACTTTGTTAGTTCTAGTGAGAACTCAGGCAGCAGAGTTTTGGATCAGCTGCAGCTGTCTGATGGACTTGTAAGGCAAAGCTATGAAGACACTGATGCAGTAATCAACTCTAGTAAATATAAATGCATGAATGAGTTTTTCTAGATTGGACATTAGTCCTTTAATCCAGGAAATGGTCTACAGACGATAAAAAACTGACTTAGTAACTGCCTCTGAAGGTTCAGGTCTGAATCCATCATGACACAAAGATTTCTGCCATAATCAGTAGTTTCTAGCTGTAGTAGCTGAAGCTGTGAGCTAACTCTGGATCAGTGCTCCTAAGGTCAGAAAAGTATTACCTCAGTTTTGTTTTTATTTAGTTGGAGATAAAATGGCTATTTGACAGCTACCATTGTTAAAGTCTGAGGATGTTCAGTCCTCGTCATCCCCTTGGACTCCATCTTCCCCTTCATTTTCCTCATGATGAGGCATCAGGCTCAAACATTTAGGGCAGCAGCTGCAGGACCAGTTCATTGATTGGATTCTGTTTGTCATCAGTTGAAATATGCTCACTCAATGATTCATAAAAAAAATCATTGAGAAATCACTATTGCTGTCCGTTTCAGTGTGTACATCGGCCAAGTTGGCTAGCCAATGTCCCGGAATGACATCACACTTCCAGGCTTGGTATGGACAAAAGAAAATGAAGCAGAAAAAAAACCTTTTTTCTTAAAAAAAAAGTTTGTTTGTAATCACTAGTATCTGAATATCTACCGACTCTAGCATAGATCTCTTTCAATAAAACATTTCACTCCATTTTTAACTATAAAATTATGTCTTATTTTGTCCTTGTAACCAATGCAGGTAAACAACAGTGAAAAAATAAAAAACAGTATTTACAGTATTTCACATTAGAAGATACATTTTTTGCTCCTGGTGGTATTTTAGCATAGCTGTCAAATCTCCTCGTTTGGCTGGAACTTACCGTGTTTTTCTCCTGATTCCCGCACTCCTCACATATTAGCAGTCTCCCTTAGATTTCCTGTATTATTGGATTATAAAATTATATAAAAAATAAACATTGATCTGCCTAGCTAGCTTCTGATCAAGTTACTGTAGTTTGCAATTCATTGGCAAGTGTTTATTTTAGATTTGTTGTTCATGTCTTGAAATATAATAGATACTATAGCCTGGATGCTTTAGTCGGACGGTTCACAGCGAATGTCATATAATGTCCCTTATTTTCAAATCTAAACCATGATAGGTATGAAACGTTTTTTGTTTGTTTTCTTTCAGAATAAGTACAAGGAGGCCAGTAAAAAAGAACTGGTTCAGTCTCTGTACTCCCACCTTCCTGAAACCAAAGAAACTCAACATGCAAAGCAGCAATCCCAGCTGCACAGTGAGGTAGGTTCAACCCACACCTCCTTTCCTCATTCAGTTTTATATCTGCTATTTCTATTTGTCGTTTATTGTGTCTCACATTTAAATACATTTTCAGTCATCTCAAATTCAGCTGCTCAAATGTTTCTGTCTATACTCAAACTGTTGTAAAAGGGGTTCATAATTATATTTGCACTGCAAAAAGAATGTAAATCTTAATAAGTCATTTTTTCTTTAATTAAGTGCATTTTTTCTTGAGTTAAGGAGGTAACTTGGACACTTTGCCAATGGAATAAGACAATTTACATTTAAAATTAGACAAAAACTATTGCATTGTCTTATTTCAAGTGTATAATATTTAGTTATCTTATTTTAAGAGTTAAAATACTCATTCCATTGGCAAATCATCTTATTTACCTACTCAAAGTTAGCATAAATACACTTACTTTTAGACTTTTTTAATCATTTTTAGATCATTTGTGCAGTGTTTATTAAGAGTTTTTTTTAATTAAAAAACTGGAAAAACATTCTAGAAATAAGTCAAGATTTCTAAAAATAATTGTATTAACGCTTAATTTGAGTAGGTCAATAAGATGATTTGCCAATGTAATTATCATTGTTACTCTTAAAATAAGATGCACTTGAAATAAGGCAATGCAATTGTATTTTCTTATTTTAAGTGTAAATTGTCTTGCTCTATTGGAAAAATGTCTCTTTTATCTCCTTATTCCAAGAACAAATGCATTTATTTTAAGAAAAAAAAGACTTATCTAGATCTTGATGTTTCCAGTGTAATAGTGATGTTCAACTTCAGGGAAAGATACTGGAACCTTCCAGGTCATCAGTGTGTTGGTTTGTTGCAGAAAGCTTACAGGGAGGAGGGGAAGAAAGAAGCAGGTCACTGTTTGTACGCTCAGATGCCCCAAACCATCGAAACCGTCTTTGCAAAGGAGGTGACCAAAGCCCAGAGCGATGTAAGTCCCTGCAGCACTTCACATGTTTCCGACACAAGACAAATATTCAGGCTTTATCCTCTGTTATTGATTAAAGGCATATTTAATGTGCTGGGTCAGTTTTGAATAAACACAGGGATTAGGTTGGGATTTCTTCTCTGTTCTCTCACATGTCAACTAGCAGATCTTTTGGATGACGGTGGAGAAGAGGCTGCAAGCATTCAGTCTTAAGGTGGCTAAACCTCTGACCCAAATTAAACATGTGAATTAATTACAAGCTGCTGTACGCTCATCTTTCAGCTCTATGCCTCATTAGCTTCCCCTCCCCCACCTCCAAGGAGAAAACAATCTGAAAAACACTCAGAAACTCAAATATTTAAAATAGTTTATAGGAAGCAAACCGGAGGTGAAGTTCTAAGGAGTTTGTGTGAATAGTGAGAAGTGAAGAAGGTTTGGACCAGAGCCGATGGAGGGTCTTTAAACAGCCCCCCTCCCACTGCTGGGGGGTGTGATGTGAGCTTTGGTGTTATTTTATCTGGTGAAGCTTGAACAGAGGGAGCAGCTGCTTCCACAGCCTGAAGCCACAGACGGTGACCTACTGACCAAAGCGCCCACGGAGAGCAGACACTAATGCACAGATTCATACACATCCCTTTGATTCAGCAGCTTTTTGTTTGTAGTTGCTAAAGCACTGCAGGACTGATTGTTCTAGGGAAGATCAGAGAGGCCAGAATTATTGGCATCTGAAAAAAAAATGTAATATAGTGAAAAGAATAAAATCATGATCTTTTTATGTCTAAAACATTTTAATCGATCACCTATGACTTCCTATGACAGGATCTGACACATATTGAATTTTTCCAGTCTTTAAAATGTGAAAGGCATGAAAGCCTAATGATCTTCTTTTTTTATTTATCTTAAACCAATGGTTTATCACCACAGCACAGAGATGTTAGTAATGATCGGAGCTTCTGGTCCACACATGAGGACAACTGTTTGGTGTCGCCCAGAGGCCGTGATATTAAAGCTGTTAAACTGGGACGCAGGCCTGATGCATTACTGGTTTCATGTCACCTGACTGAGCAATGCAGCGCTAACTGGAGCGTATAACAGCAGTGCAGACAGCCCCACTGTCTGCTGCAAGAAAGCTTCTCCTAAATGATTTCAACAGGGGTTTCTGCTTAATGTGGGAGCGAATGCTCCTCAGGTCTATTGGTTGCTGCCAAACTCTCCTCAGTGTTCTCAGCAGTTCAGTCAGTCCCCAATGTTTTCCTCGCTGTGGTTAATACCCTTGTTATTTCCTTTCTTTAATGCCTCCTTTTTCTGCCTCACTGCAGAAGTTCTATAAAGAGAAGTATAACCGTGAGAAGGGGAAGTCTGACTACAGCAACATGAAGACGCTGCCTGAGGTGGAGCACGCCATGGAGGTCAACAGGAACCAGAGCGATGTAAAGCTGCTGCACACCCACGCTGCATTAGCCATGCAGAACCAGGCTGTTACTAAACAGGCAGCTTTTTATTTAGCCCAATAATCACAGATCAGAAAAATACTGCCATGTTTCTATTCTTCCTCTGCTACTGTAGCCTTCTAATATCTTTGTTTTATGAGTAGATTCAGCGACTCACATTTATTAGAGCACAATTTGCAAAGAACGGTTCTTTTATTGTAGGGGCTCAATACATTTTTCTTTAATTAAGGAAATCAATCTTATGTTTAGAAACAAAATTCATGGATTATCTCAGTACTTGTGAATCCTGTAAAGTTGATATACCTGTAGTGATTTTGTTAGTTCTATATGTCTTTATTAACATTAAGGTGATTCATGTCTCTAGGAATTTTTCATCAGTCACCTAGGATTTCTCATTTGCCTGGGGAATAAACATCATGTAACTCAGAGGCTCATTTCTCCTCAGCACTTCTCACAGTAGGAAAAAATCATAATGCAGAGGCAGGAAATATAAGAGTTGCATGAAAATGATTTGTAGGTTCAAACTTAAACTAAATTTTGTTCCATTGTTGTTGCAAAGAACACTTTTTGTAACTGAAAAAAGCAACCTATAAATGGCTCTTGGAATGGCTTCAACAGTCACTTTGCTGTTTTCTCAGACATAAATTTGTTATTTCTTTACCAAATGCCATTTTCATACTGCAACACTCATAATGCATTAATATTTCTTTTACATATTAAATATTTTCAAATTGGCTGCACAGTATCGCAGTGGATAGCACTGCGGTTTGATTCCCGGCCCGGGGTCTTTCTGCATGGAGTTTGCATGTTCTCCCTGAGCATGTGTGAGATCTCTCCGGGTACTCCGGCTTCCTCCCACAGTCCAAAAACATGACTGTTAGATTAATTGGCTTCTCTAAATCCTCCTTAGGTGTGAGTGTGTGCGTGAATGATTGTCCTGTTTGTCTCTGTGTTTCCCTGCGATGGACTGGGGACCTGTCCAGGGTGGACCCCGCTTCTCACCCGTAGACAGCTGGAGATAGGCACCAGCACCCCTCGTAACCCTGCTTGGGATAAGCGTGACGGAGGATTTTTCTAATTTTATTTTTATATCGCTCTTTTTCCGATTAAGGGTTAAAGATTACATTATCTTCACTTCAGCGCCCCCACATCGCTCTTGACCAATAAAGACGTTGTTGCCAATGTCCCTGCAGACCAATAGAAGTGGAGAGAATAGGATCTTTGAAATGCAATATGAAAAGAAGGCAATTTGTAAAACTCAATCTGAAAAAAGAGATTTTTTTCTAAAAAGTAATTTGAAAAAAAATAAAAACAAAATTTAAAAATGTAAAATAAGAAAAATCTGAAACATTACATTTGAAAAAAATCACAAGTAATCCAAAAAATAAAATGTTTTGTATCAAATAACTTGAGAAAATAAAATCTAACAAAAACACAAAGTTACTCTCAAAACCTTTTTCTTCAGTTAGATATTTTTAAGTTTAATTTCTCTTTCATATTTCCATTTACAAAACTTGTTCTTTGCTTGCAACAATAATGCGAAATGCACTCCATAAATCTGCCCATTTCTACCCTTTATTTTCAATCAGCCTCAGACTTTTAACATTCAGGTCTAGATGCTTTAAACACTCTTCAAATATCTTTAATTATTGTTGCTCCATTTGGTTGTTTTATTTAGCTTCAGTTTTTCATGCACTTCCACTGCATTTTATTTGTCGTTTGTTTCTGTTTTTCTTGGGCTGCTGCTGCTGATCTCAGGTCAGCTACAGAAAAGGTAAAGACGATCTTCATCACTACAACCCAGAGCCGGACCGACCCGACATCGTCAGCGCCACCAACGCAGCCAAACTGGCGAGTGATGTGAGTCGTCATTTATCTGCGCTAAATATACCTTAGAGCCGTGCATTAGTTTCCATGACAACGGTTGTGTTGAGAAGCTGCTCTCTGAGAGGAGGTGCTGATTAATTATAGAACAATTTCTGCTGTTAACACTGAGCTGTGTTCACATACAGTGGGTCCATAAATGATTTACAGAAACGATCTGTATTCTGGTAGCTTTTTATTTAATCATCTGATCCAGGAACAGCAGGTTTGTTTCTCCTGTGATGTTTGCAGACAGAAGCTCCAAAGACAGGATGAATGAAGGGGGAGATTTAACAGTGGATTGTATCGTTTTAGTGACACTTTAACAGCTATTTATGAGCAGACTCTTCAATAACTTGACAGGTGGCGTATAAGAGTAAAGCAAAGCAGCAGGTCTGCACCGATGAATCCCTCCTGTCCAGAACCGACCTTCTGCACGCCAAAGAGGTTTCCAAACTGGCCAGTCAGGTAACAGACAACTCCCCACCATTATTTAGATTCAACCAGTTCAATTGGTAGGAATAATGACCTGTCTGTCCTGCAGGTGAAGTACAAATACCAGCATTTAAAGGGCCAGAAACCATGTTACAACCCCATGGACTGCGTGTCTTTCAAACACTCACAGGCTGCTGCTGCTCTGGCCAGTCAGGTGGGAGTTTTATCTCTGAGTAAAAACCTTCCCTGCATGTTTTCTGGGATCTTAGAAGATCTGAAGCAGGAGGGTTTTCTACTTTGTTTTATCCATTTAAGCAGAATCAGCTCCACAGCATCATACAGCCACCACCATGCTTTACAGTTCTGCAGTTTTCTTCATGTTTGGAAGCCTGATTTGTTGTTATTGAAGCCAAAAAGATCAACATCTGAAAGAGTGGTTCCAAAGTGGGGGTCATAAGTCAGCTAGTGGTGGTGGAGGGGGATGTGTGTGTGTGTGTGTGTGTAGTTGGGGTGATCACTCTTGTGTCATAGGTGAGGTTTATGGAATGTCTAAATATATATATGTATATATATGAAATTACTAGATGAGACTTTTATTTCTATATATTTTTTTTAACAGTGGGTTGATCGTTCCTTTTTTAGTAACGCACCTAAATTGTGGACCAACCTGCCCCTCGGTCTGAGGGTTCTCACAGATCTGCACCTCTTTAACTCCAGGTTAAAGACTCATTTTTTAAAATGTCTTTTAATACTTGGGACACATTGTTTTATGCTTATGATTTTGTTTTTTTGGGGGGGTTTTTGCAATGTTTTAATCTTTCTGTGAAGCACTTTGGTCTTCCTGGTGTCGCTGTAAAGTGCTATATAAATAAACTTTGATTTGATTTTATCAAATAGATCAATGAAAAATTAAGTATACCACTAAGTTTTAAAATGCAAAATTAAATGATTCAAAATACATTTAAAATGCTGAACTAAATAATAGAATGTCATTAATTAAAGTCGTGGGGAATTCATATTTAAATGTCAAATCATTGTGTCTTAAACATGTATATAAATGTACTCTTTACTATATTGTCCCAAAAGTTAGAACATTTCTATAAAAAAAAAAATCCTTTCTGTGTGTTTTTTTTCCGTTATCTTATGCAGGCCAGTTAGTTATACGTCAGCCTGAACACCTAAATTCGGCCAAACATAAATCAATGGTCATCTGTCAATTAAATTTTTTCGGTCATAGCATTTTGATTCATATGTCGCAGCTAATATACGCAACGGTTGAAATCAGAATCCTTTCCTTTCCCATTGAGTTCCAGAGTTCCGTCCCAGTGTTCACGGGGATGGACGTCTGTGTCTTCAGCAGGCGTAGAGCTAACAGAACTGGCAGCGTTGCGAGGCAAGGGCTCAAACATGTACGGCTGGAAGCCTTCTACACCAAACCAAGCTTCTGCCGCCCTGGCGTCCTCTTCCACAACATCTTCATCCCGCTTTCCTCCTCTAAATAAAACATGTATGACGGAGGAGACTCATCCACGACCTCCGACACTAAACTCTCCTCCTCTTGCATGTTTCCTCTGTCCATAGCGTTCCTTGACAGTGTCGTTTCTAAGTCACCAATTTAGTGCTACTTGGTCCCAATGGAATTTCCTATTGGGAACCTGCTAGCACTAAGTTGCTAACTGGTTAGCAAGATGCTTCAGAGAAACCGGCAACAAACAAAACAGCTTACCAAACATCCGCCACAACAATCAAACATTGACATTCACTTTATTCACTCGTGTAAAGTCGGGCACCACTCAGGAGAATTCGGATGCAACCATTGGAACATCCAATGTATCTATGAATAGAATTACCTCACTATATTTTTTAAATAAATATGGAGGTAATTATATATGTATTTTTTAGGGGTTGCCTGTTTGTTGTATTATTATTTTTTGGGGTCACAGAATTAAATATTTGAATTGAAATGTTTGGTTTAGAGCATCACCTAACCTTTCTGTCCATGGTGATAAAAACTGGAAGCATTTTGTGTTTTTTGCATCACTTCCCCCTAATGTGGAGAAATCCTGTTTGTTTCTTCCATGTAGATTAAAAAATAGAGAAATCTCGATGGCTATCAAATTTGTTCCAATCTTTCAATTTAAGCCAAGCAACTTTTATCTATTTTATCTTTTATTAATTCTGCAAACTGGCGTTTGACATCAACTTTTGTAGTGTGACCCAACTTTGGGAATCAGTGATCAAAATAATAAAACTCTGTTTTAGAAGCACAAATCTTAGAATAAATACATAAAGTATTAACTCTGCTCATATATTATAGTATATTAGAGGATATGTTTTATCTTATTAAAGCTCCCATAGACATAAAGTTCTTATTTAAGTTTCTTGCTTTCAGGCAAGTTTTGAGACTTTCTGAGTGCTTCATCTAAACTCTAATGTCGATGTTATGAAGCTGATAATCCCTTACATGGAGGCAAACATAATCCATCTTCAGCTCCAGATTAAAACATCAAGGTTTTCTGAGAGGAAAATCTCCCTCAGGTCGTTGGGTTGTTGTTCAGACGTTCTGTGTTCGGATCACCTGCAGTTTTCTCTTCAGCTTCAGAGATAAACAAACCCAGGAGGAACAAACCGCGTCTGTTGGTTTGTTTTTCGCTCTCTGACATCCAGCATGTTGCGTGGAAGTAACCATGGCAACCCTTTCTGAGGCAAATGAAGAGGGACTGTGGGATGGAAAACAGGAAAAGGTGAAGAGGTTGCAGGCAGACACACAAACATGATGGCTGAAAACTCTTTCCTAACTGGACCTGTGATCCCAGCTGTGATCCTGAACCCAGAAAGGTCCTCCGTGTGGAAACGTCTCACCGTGACGCTTCACGATGAGACAGCTCCCACACTAACAGTGCGCACACACCGCTTCGTTTTCGCTGCCCACACCGCCACAGCGTTACGTAACGGCTTGTTGCTGAACGCTGCCTGGTGTTCAGGAACGCCAGAGCTGCTTTTCAGTAAATCTGCTGCTTGAAAGGAGGCCTTCAACCCTTTGGGCAGACGGACCGACCCAATTCTGGTTTCAGGTGAGACTGGCACCAGTTAGAGCTGAGTTTGGCACAGAGGAAAGAGAAACCTGTCCAGAATTCAAGTTATGATCAGAGATGGTGCAGGGATTAAAGCTTCATGACATTTAAACCAGAGTTTTGGTTTAAATGGTATAAGAAGAGTCTCTTTATTTACTGTTTGTCATTTTTCTTCCTAATTCTTTTGATAAATACAACAAAGAAGAGAAGGAGTGCATTTTTGTTGAACTCAGCTCTTCATCCTGATGTCTGCAACTTTCTAATTATAGAAAAAGATTCAGTTAAGATATTAAACAATACAATTTGTCTAAGATGTTGTGATATTAGAAGAAAATAAAATTATTTATTCATTCCTAAATATTTTGGCACTAAAATATTTTGCTTATCTCAGTCCAACTAGTAAAGGGCTCATATTCTTTTAAACTCAAGTATCTTTAGGAGCTTTCCTGTGACTTATTTGATGCTCTTCTAGATTTTGATTTCTGACTTTTACAGAAATCACTGACTTTTTTCCAAGAGTTTTCAAGAACATAGCTTGAACTTTCCAGAACCTGCCTGGAAGTCCCCTGATACTTTCTGAGGACTTTCCTTTTACTTCATAGTGAATACAGATCTCTTCACTCCCATAAACTCTTCTGAAAGTTCTAGGATCTCATTCAATGCTTTTCCAAAAGTTAAGTTGGTTTTCAAAATGTGTTTGGAAATGATTGGGTGCTTTCCTCATCTGATTACTCACAGGAACAGAAATCAACAAGTAAAGTCTTTCTTAAGTGAAGTTCTGTGAAGTACCTAAAGAAACCTTTTCTTTTTCTGATGGTTTCAGATCCCTAACACTTGTTTCTATTAAAAATTTAAAGAAATGTTTCAGCTGTGAATAGAAAAGTTCAGAGCTGCTCCTCTTTTAATCTGTTGTTCTTAAAATTCTTAGATTCTTCTTAGTCTGACGTCTGAAATGAAGTTGTTTACTAATCAACAGTAAAAGGCTTCAGTACTTTAATGTTAAACTGTCCTTTATTTCCCAGGTGAAGTATAAGACCAACCAGAACCAGAGACCCGAAGGTTCCTCGGATGTACCGAATCTCCTGCAGCTGGAGCATGCCCTTCATGCCAGCAAGCTCCAGAGCAATGTACGCACACTTTATATGGCTGCATGTGGGACCAGCAGATATTGATGTACTTTAACACAGAGGGGTGTGGCTGGTGCAGAATTCTGCTTTTGTCTTTAATTTTACTGTAGAGGCATATTTAGATCCGAGCTTTCTGGTTTTTAACCTTCTGGTGTCTGTGTGTTCTCAGCTTGAATATAAGAAGAAGTACAAACAAACGAAGGCCCACTACCACAACGCCCTGGATACGGCAGAGCAGCTCCACCACAGGGAGAACGCCGTGCTGCACAGCCAGGTTCCACTGTCAGACCCTCCCAGTCAGGCTTTGGCTTTGATGTTTTTTCCTCTTGTTTGAGTAGTTGTTGTTTTTTTTAGGTGAAGTACAAGGAGGAGTATGAGAAGAACAAGGGTCGCTCCCTGATGGAGTTTGGAGACACTCAGACCTACAAAGTGTCCAAAGAAGCTCAGAAGATGCAGAGTGAGGTAACCCATTCCTCTTACAAAATAATTAAAATGTGGTTGTGCATGGCAGGAGTCGGGTTAGTTTAATTTCATGTTTAAAAATATAAGTTTCCTAGTGATCAAACAGCAAACTGAATTATCACTTCTACTGCTTTCCATTAGCATTAAACCCATAGCCTAGCTTATTTAGATGATAGTAATATAGAAAGAGTTGTAATCGACATAGAAGAACCTAAAATATCACTCTATGCTGATGACGTGTTACTGTATTTACCAAAACCTTGTCAACGATGCTATATTTGATGGACCTTATTTCAGAATATGGGTATTATTCAGGATGTGAGGTAAATGCATCCTGTAGAAAGAAACGGTACAATCCCAGATAATATTAAAAAACTGCAGTGGATTTAAATGACCAAACTATTTTTCAATTCAGTTCAGTTTATTTCTATAGCGCCAATTCACAACACATATCATCTCAAGGCACTTTCCAGTTCACCAGATCATCCAGTCAAATTGATTCAAAGTTTTCTATCTAAGGAAAACCAGTTGATTGCATCGACTCTTTGACTCTTCAGCAATCCCTCACACTAAGCATGCTTGTAGCGACAGTGGAGAGGAAAAACTCCCTTTGAACAGGAAGAAACCTCCAGCAGAACCAGGTTTAGTGTGAGCGGCCATCTGCCGAGGCTGACTGGGGTTCAAGGAGTCAGAAGCAGACATAGAAAAAGCAGCTGTAAAAGACAAACTCAGAGCCAGCTCCCATGTCAGAGGATGAAGAGAGCACATCCAGTTAGTCACAGTCAGAGAAACAGGACTACACTGAAAAACAGGCCGATCTCCAACATCTATAAACAAAGGTGATGATGGCAGCAGCACAGCTGATGGAGTCACAGCCAAACAGGAACAGACCAGATGTAGCTACTATGAGAAAAAGCAGAGAGAGCAGAACATTAAACAAGATATTAAATATCTTAGGATTTTAAAACTCTATCCCTAAACAATCTATAAAAGGTAAATTATAGTACAATAAGTAATGATCTGGAACAAACACGCTCCATCTCTATCTGCCGGGTCGTATTTAAACCATCTGCATGAATGTTCTGCCAAGGCTCCAGCACCTATTTCTGATGCTGCCTGTAGAAATACCTTAAACTACTTTTGACAGTCTGGACAAAGCTATTTCAAGATGCATATTTAAAAAAATAAAATAAAAATGCCCCTGAGTCAGACGTAAAAGCCTTCAGTTATCCAGATGGATGCATTAAACTGCCAAACCTAAAATATCCCTCATGAGCTGCACAAATAAAACCATGATAGAGTGGATTAAGGAGAGTTTTTACACCCGTTGGCTTTATGTTTTAGAAATATTTCCCTGGACCTCTTGACAGCTTTACCTTTTATAGATATCTATGTAATAGAAATGGCTATTTGGATTAAAGTCACCCTTAAAATTTGGAAATAAATATTATCAGCTACTAAACTAACAAAGTTGATCTGATCACCTAAAGGTAACAGATTCACAAAGACTTCTATAAAGACCTCATCCAGATGCTGGTTTTAAAAAGTGGTTAAAGACATGCATTGCACTGGTAATGATTACAAAGAAGCATGAAGGTGATGAAATAATTAGTAAATGATGGAATCTGTTTGTATCTTTGGATAACCACAACTCACTGCAAACAAAGGAGAGACAGGAGGTAAAAATAAATTAAGCTTTCTGAATACCTGCAATAGGTTGTGCACTGAGGCTACAAGCGCAAACACCTGAAAAGAATTTAAATGGAAACACAACATATAACTGCATAAATGGGACTGTTATAACAATCTAAATACAGGTTGTTCTTAAAAGAAATTCTCTATGCTCTCCAAATAATCTTTAGGCAACATATCTCACAATCCCAGTGAAAGAAAAGGCAGAAAAATCCATTTCCAATGTATTGTTCACAGCAGACCTAAAATGTATAAGAATTAAAGGGTTGAGACCAGATCCTTCCACGTTTAATATATGGGCTCATAAGATTTGGGACTGTTATGAGAAGGAGCAAACCACATAAACATTAAGGCTCCAAAAGTCTACCATTATGAAACCTTGTGGTCCTAAAATGACTCTATTGTTACTGTTAAACATACAAACTGATGCCCCTCTACTCTAAACGATGTATCCTATATTGCGTCACATATAATGTAGTGTGGAAATGTACACCCTCAAAACAAACTGATTTCTGATATATATACATATATATATATATATATATATATATATATATATATATATATATATATATATATATATATATATATATATATATATATATATATATATATATGTAACCAGCAGTTTTCTCTTGTATAAAGATGATCTTTCTGTCATGATGGGTATCAGGGAGGCCCAATATGCAGAACACTGACGACACGGATGGAAAGTTTAACAGAGTTTATTGGCAAATTCACACATATAATAAAGACTGATGCAATGGTTCTGGGCTGGGACTGGTTCACTGGCGTCTGTGAGAAAGACAGTTTGGTTAGCGAAGGCTTGGTTGAGACTTGACTGATTGTGTTCAGGTTTGTACCTTGATGACTGTAGAGGAGGTTTTGGGAGCGGAACAGTTGGGTCCGGAGAAAGCTTGGGTTGGCAGAGTCCTTAAGCTGTTTCAGCGTCTTACTTCTAAAGGCTGTTTTGACCTTGGCTTGTGTTTCCAGCTCGGTATCCAGAGCTGCTAGGAAATCCAGAGGGTGAGTCTTCAGGTTTGGCTCGGAGGGCTGGCTCGGCAGGTTAAGCTCTTCCAGAGCTTCACAGGAGAAAGAACAGGAAACCTGGAAGCAGAGACAAAAGGGTTAGAATCCAGGTTGGACTCAAAGGAGACTTGGTTCACTAGGGATCTATGGCTTAAGTGCTAACCAACTGATTAAGACACTGCGGCGTCGAGGCAAGGTCTGAAGGCAGCTTAAGTAGTCCAGGTCCTCCAGATGAGATCATCAGCTGCAGGTGTGCAGAGCAGCTCAGCAGGGAGGATCCAGGGCGGACTCTGCTGGAGAAAAGGTGTATTTCTCCAGCTCCCAACAGTACCCCCCCCTCAACGACCGCCCCTTGGCGGTGCGGAAGAGGTAGACGGGAGGGAACGCTCATACTCCTCGATGAGAGAAGGGTCGAGGATGTATGAACCAGGAACCCATTGTCGGTCCTCCGGACCGTAGCCCTCCCAGTCGACGAGGTACTGCCAACCGCGACCTCGCCGACGGGAGTCCTCGATCCGGTGAACGGTGAAGGCCGGATGTCCATCGACTTCCAGGGCGGGTGGAGGGGAGTCGGATGGAGGGCAAATGGGACTAGAGATGACTGGTTTAACCTGGGAGACGTGGAACGTAGGGTGAATCCTGAGTGTCGGGGGAAGTTGAAGACGGACGGCGGATGGGTTGATGACTCGAGTGATCTTGTATGGGCCGATGAATCTCGGGGATAATTTGCGGGAGGTCTGGCTGTCCCGGGTGGACAGCCAGACCTCCTGGCCGACCTTGTACTCGGGGGCTGGACGTCCCTTGGGGTCAGTGAACCTCTTAGAGGACTCAGAGGAACGGTTGAGTGCTTGGATGGTCTCTCTCCAAACACGCTGGCAACGACGGATGTGGTGATTGACAGTCTTCACCGATATCTCTCTCTCGTCAGCAGGGAAGAGAGGTGGTTGGTAGCCGAGGCTAACTTGGAAGGGAGACTGACCGGTAGATGCAGACTTGAGTGAGTTATGGGCGTATTCTATCCAGGTGAGATATTGACTCCAATCGGTGGGATTATTGGAGGTGAGACAGCGGAGGGTGGATTCGAGGTGTCCTCTCAGTTTGACCATTTGACTGGGGATGATAGCCAGAAGTTAGTGACACTTTACAATTTAGAGCAGAACAGAAAGCCTTCCAAACCTGGTAGACAAATTGGGGACCACTATCTGAGAGGATGTCCTGGAGAATACCATGGAGGCGAAAGACGTGCTTGATCAGCAACTGGGCGGTTTGATAGGCCGTAGGAAGCTTTCTGAGAGGGATCAGATGACAAGATTTGGAGAAACGATCTACGATGGTTAAAATAGTTGACATACCTCGAGACTCTGGGAGACCAGTGACGAAATCGATGGCAATATGGGACCAAGGACGTGAGGGCACAGGGAGCGGTTGCAGCAAACCGGAGGGTGGCTGATGAGAGGCTTTGTTCCGTGCACAGGTGGAGCAGGCAGACACATATTCCTTTACATCTCGATGCAAAGTGGGCCACCAAAACCGTCTTGAGATCAGTGAAACTGTTCGGCTCACTCCCGGATGAGCAGAGAATCTTGCCGAGTGCATCCAATGAATGAGACGAGACCTAACAGACGAGGGGACATAGGTACGGTTAGGTGGTCCATTACCTGGGTCTGGTTCTGTGGCCAGGGCAGCGTTGATTAAATCTGTTATCTCCCAAGTGACCATTCCAACGGTACATGAGGCAGGGAGGACAGGTTGGGGTGACTCAAGTTGATCCACAGCGTAGAGACGAGAGAGAGAATCGGGCTTGGTGTTCTTAGATCCAGGTCTGTAGGAGATAATGAGATTAAAACGTGAAAAGAAGAGAGACCACCTTGACTGTCAAGGAGTAGCTTGTTTAGCGGACTGGATGTAGGCGAGATTCTTGTGGTCAGTCCACACCAGGACTGGATGCTCTGCTCCTTCGAGCCAGTGTCTCCACTCTTCCAAAGCCAACTTAATGGCCAAAAATTCTCGGTCCCCAACGTCGTAGTTGTGTTCTGCGGGAGAGAGTTTACGGGAAAAGAAGGCACAGGGATGGATTCGTTGATCAGAGTCGAGTTTCTGAGACAAAACTGCCCCTACACCGGAGTCAGAAGCATTAACCTCTAGGATAAATTGCTTAGATGGATCTGGTTGGATTAGGACTGGAGCTCTGGAAAACAAGGTTTTGAGTTTGTCAAAAGCTGCTTGTGCCTCGGGGGACCATCGAAAAACTCTCTTGGAAGAAGTTAATGCAGTTAATGGGAGGGCGGTTTGGCTATAATTTCTGATGAACCTCCGGTAGAAATTAGCGAAGCCCAAAAATCTTTGTAGCTGCTTACGGCTTTCTGGAACGGGCCATTCTAAAACAGCTTTTATCTTCTCTTCAGAAGGCTTAACCTGCCCGCCCTCGAGCTCAAACCCCAAAAAGGTAACTGAAGATTGGTGAAACTCACATTTTTCAGCCTTTACAAAAAGTTTATTCTCTAGAAGTCTCTGAAGAACCAGGCGGACATGTCTCTTATGTTCAGATAGATTCTTGGAGTAGATCAGGATATCATCAATGTATACGAATACAAACACATTGAGAAAGTCTCTGAGGACGTCGTTCACTAGGGCCTGAAAACATGCGGGGGCATTTGTTAAGCCGAAAGGCATGACCAAATACTCGAACTGGCCCAGAGGAGTCTTAAATGCCGTTTTCCATTCATCTCCTTCACGTATCCTAAGGAGATGATAGGCATTTCTTAAATCGAGCTTTGTGAAAACGGTAGCTCCTTGTACAGGCTCAAAGGCTGAGGCGAGAAGAGGAAGAGGATATTTGTTTTTGATAGTGATTTGGTTCAGGCCTCTATAATCTATACAGGGTCTCAACCATCCTTTTTTCCAACAAAGAAAAATCCTGCGCCCAACGGGGATGAAGAAGGGCGAATAATTCCTGCAGCTAGCGACTCGTTAATGTATTTTTCCATTGTTTCACGTTCTGGTTTGGAAATGTTATAAAGTCTACTGCTGGGTAACGGAGCACCGGGTAATAACTCGATGGCACAGTCGTATGGTCTGTGTGGTGGAAGGGACGAAGCACTGACCTTACTGAAAACAGGAGCCAAATCATGGTAATCAGGGGGTACCGGAGAAAGGTCAGGGACGTCCATCTCCCCCCCACCTCTAGGGGACCCCACAGCGGGAGCTGCAGAACGGAGGCAGGTCTCGTGACACAATGTGGACCAGGACTCCACATGACGATCGGCCCAATTAATATGGGGATTATGCTTCTCCAGCCATTCATAACCCAGTACCAGTGGGGAACATGCGGATGAAAAAACAAAGAAGGTTATGGACTCTCGATGGTTACCTGAGATTAGAAGTTCAAGGGGTTGAGTTTGGTGGGTGAATTGATGAAGTTTTTTCCCATCAATCGCAGAGACTCTGAGAGGCTGGGTTAAAGGAACCGTAGCAATTTGGAGCTGTTGGACGAGATCAGAGTCTATTAAATTACGTTGGTAAAAAGGTGTATTTCTCCAGCTCCCAACACTTTCTGTAATAACGAGGGCTGAGTACTCTCTTTTATATTATGCTGAATTACAGAAAAAGCCCCATCGATAATCTGGAAAAACTCACAAAAAAGAGAAAAGACAATTGGGAGAAATTTATTGATACATTTACTTTGTCTTTGGCGCTCAGAGCTCGGCAGGAAACATAGCACTTAATGTTGATAGATATGCATGAACAGGAGCAAAATTAACAAACACAAGTATGAAATAGACAGAGAAATAAAAAGAAAAAAAAACAATCCGCAAACAATTTGCATCATTTTTCCAATTTCCTTCATAGTCTTTAAGAAATTTGGCCAATGGTGACCATAACTATTCCCTTTCCTCTCACAATATAAAAAAGTTGCTCTAGAGCCATAAACGACGCCATTTCCTTCGCCAATATATGACATACTTCTCTGATATAAAACAAATGGATATCTTGCTCCCATCTATCTTTATAATGATCTGTTATAAACTGTTTAAATTATATCCACAGGTGTTAAAACAAATAAGGTATTGTTGTTTAAAATATTTATAGCAGATTGCAGCCAATTTGACATGTGTGACAAGTTTGTAGAGAAATATCAGGTGAGCCAGTGAGCAGAGATAAAATTAACCTTGTATGTTTGTGTGTCTCTCAGAGGGAATACCGTAAGGACTTCGAGGAGCAGGTGAAAGGTAGAGCTTTGCTGGATGTGGATCAGACTCCAGGATACCTGACTGCCCGAAACGCCAGCAGTCTGCTGAGTGAGGTACTTAAAGATTGAAGATGTCTGTGAAGTTAGGAAGCTGATACTGAGGCATTTCTTGAAAGAAATAATGTTTATATTTATAACGTCCTCAGACGGAGAGATAGGGCTCTGACTGAGGCATTTCAGTACATACATTTATACCTTACCAAATCACACACACACACACACTCCCCCCAGGGGAACTATCCCACCCTCTGCATAAAGAACTTTCTCACACACAAACTTTTGGAGAAAGTTCAATGCCATTCCCTGTTAGGTTAATATTTCTGGATCTTTTCAAAACAACAGTCCTCCCCTTCATGCCATGAAGGAAGCTTTGTAACTCGTTCTTATCTCACATGACCTTCATTTGATGCCTGTGAGGCTAAGATTAGACATACCTCAACATTTTTTACTCCACAACTCTTAGAATCCAACTTCAAAACGGTTACTAGAATGCACATAACATCTATGTTTTATATCAATGTTTTCAGCATCTTTATGTCAATAAACTGAAAGCAAACTGCTAAGAAGTCAGAAAAAATAAAAACTAGATAATTTTTTATAATGAAATCTCAAATGACTTCTGTTCATTTCTTCTCTTTGAAATCATCCTGAACTTACTAATCAGCCCTTTTGGTCTCTTTGCAGAAGGTGTACAGGAAGGACCTGGAGCAGGAAGTGAAGGGGCGGGGCTTATCTGGTCTCGGTCTGGAGGAAACGCCAGAGCTTCTCAGGGTTAAGAAAGCCAATCAGATTCTAAACCAGGTCAGAGCAAATGTAGAAATAAAGCTGCGTTTAGAAATAAAAGTAGATTTGTATTTCACTCCAGAGGTGTCGCCTTTGGTTCTGCAGAAGGAATACCGCCGGGATCTGGAGACCGAAATCAGGGGTAAAGGAATGGAGCTGAGCACAGACGTCCTGGAGATACAGAGAGCCAAAAGAGCTTCAGAGATCCAGAGCCAGGTATCCAGAACCAGCAGCTGGTTTATTATGATTAAAGATAGAGTTATGGGTGAAATATCAGACAGTGTTTCATTTTATTCTGAAAATCCAGGTGTTTTCCACGGTTACTAACTTTAACATTTATACCTAAAGGTATTCACTTTGGCTTCATAACTCTTTGCTTTTAATAAAACGTTTATAGATGTTAATTAGAACTAAAGTCCACTGAAGGTTTATGAATGTAATAAATATGGAATCAGAAAGCTAAACATCTCTCCCTGTTTTAAAATTAATTCAGTAAAAAAGTTGATCACATCCAGAAAAAAAGGTTTGTAAGTTTCAGGTGATCATTATTCTCATTTGGAAGAGGATGCACACATTAGTTATAGCTTCTGTTGAGAGCCTTTAAAGCAACCAAGACTGTTAGGCTGCAATATAAACAGTCCACAGCAGATAGATACAAGAATGGGGGTTAATGACACAGGAAGTCAGAAAGCTTCAGATCCACCTGCTGCCCGGGTTTAAAGTCGTAGGGAAGTCATATTTAAATATCAAGTAATTCTGGCTTAAACATAAATGTACTCTTTATCAGACTATATTGTCCCAAAATTTAGACAATTTCAATAAAAAAAAAAAAAATCCTGTCTTAAGATCTGTGCTTTTTTCCATTATCTTATGCAGGCCAGCTAGTTATACGTCAGCTTGAACACCTAAATTCGGCCAATCATACATATATCAAGGGTTATCTGTCAATAACGTTTTTTCGGTCATAGCATCTTGATTCATATGTTGCAGCTAATATACGCAACAGTTAAAATAGGAATAATTTCCTTTCCCATTGAGTTGCGTCCCAGTGTTCACGGGGATGGACGTCTGTGTCTTCAGCAGGCGTAGAGCTAACAGAACTGGCAGCGTTGCGAGGCGAGGGCTCAAACATGTACGGCTGGAAGCCTTCTACACCAAACCAAGCTTCTGCCGCCCTGGCGTCCTCTTCCACAACATCTTCGTCCCGCTTTACTCCTCTAAATAAAAGATGTAATGTAGGAGACTCATCCACGACCTCCGACACTAAACTCTCCTCCTCTTGCATGTTTCCTCTGTCCATAGCGTTCCTTGACAGAGTCGTTTCTAAGTCACCAATTTAGTGCTACTTGGTCCCAATGGAATTGCCCATTGGGAAGCTACTAGCACTAAGTTGCTAACTGGTTAGCAAGATGCTTCAGAGACACCGGCCACAGCCAAACTTGCTTCTGAACCTTCCGCCACCTTGATGAACAACCAATCACATTCACTTTATTCACCATGCGCCACTCTGGAGAATTCAGAAATGCTATAGTTGGAACAGCCGTTTCCCTACGACTCGAAGGTTTTTCATGCATGGTTCTCTTGCCCCTACAACTTGATTAAATGGAGCCTAGGTGGAAGTTCGACTGAACAAACGATCGCTGACCCTTATCCGTCACAGGTTAATCAGTTTCCAACCACACCTCCACGAAAGCCAATCAGCATCCAAAGTTAATTTTAAAAGGCCTCCAAATCCACAACTCGTCTGCTACCTAGTGGGCAGGCAGTGGTTGTTTTATGTCTGACTTCAGTTCAGATGACACCGTTTAAACCCACCTCCAGCCCCTCCTCCACCATCGTAACTAAAGCTTCATCAGAGTTTTATTCCTCCCGGACTCTTACGGTGTTCGGCATCTGATTTCAACCGGTCCGGCAGAAGACCGCCATGTTGAGCCTGGTTCTGCCAGAGGTTTCTTCCTAATAAGGGGAGTTTTTCCTCTCCACTGTCGCTTCATGCTTGCTCATCATGGACGGGTTCTCTCAACCTATGTTATCCAAACTGGACTTCCATCTTCCAGTTCCCTGAGTGAAGCTCTAGTATCAGCTCACACAGTCCACTGGATCTCCCCATAAAGCTCAGCAGACCGTCTCTCTAACCAGCAGTCTACAGACTGACCCACTTCATCTATCTCCACTCCACCACCAGTTTCAGGATTCTTTACTCCTGTTCATACATATCACAGAAAATTCAGTGCTATGTTTCCTGCTGAGGTCTGAGCACCAAAGACTAAAGTAACTGTATCAATAAAATTCTTCTAATTGTCTTTTTTTTTCCTTGTGAGTTTCCTTTTGATGAGACACCATCCAACATTTGGATGCTTTTTACTCTAGGAAGTTCCTTCAGTCCCGCTGTAATATTTGTGTTTATGTGCTACAGAAATCATACAAACAGACGGAGCAGCTAAGGGAGAACTCCTATGGGACGCTTACAGACACTCCTGAGCTGCTGCATGCCTCCTACCTCAAAGACATCTACAGCCAGGTCGGTCATCATCATAGACTTCCTCTCTGATGGGGAGCAGCTCTGTATTCTCTAAAAAAAAAGCCAGTCATCTTTATCTGCAGCTCTATTTTTGTCATTTTCACCATCTCTATAGTTTAATCATTGCACAACATCCCAGAAACCTTGCATATTAGTAAGGCCATCTTGCAGACTTCCCCTCTCACTGCTACCTTTTCTCTCACTTCCTCGTGTTTACATCACATTTGACATGAAAACCCTTTGAAATGTTGACCCCAGGTTCTTCAATTGATCCTTTTTAGAGGTTCCTCCTGATGCAGCCCAATGTACCACCCTGCTGCTGTGATTACTGAAATATATTTCCTCCACTGAGAACTTTGGTCTGCTTGTTTCTGTAGAAGAAGTACAAGGATGAGGCTGAGCAGCTGAAGGGCCGCTACAGCCAGGTTCCAGAAACCCTGGAGATGGAGAGGGTCCGAGCCAACCAGAGACACATCAGCTCTGTGAGAACTGAAGCCTGGCCGCTCTGAGAGCACTTTATGCTGCAATATTCAGAGATGAGTATCTGTAACACAGCTCTCTGTCGCCAACTAGCTGCGGTATAGCTGTGACTCCAAACTGATGCGAGGCCTGACGGCGTCGGTCACGGAGACGCCAGGGATCGTCCTGGCCAGGGAGAACGCCAAGAACTTCAGTGATGTATGTTTACCAGGACTAATAAATCAAGATAAATACACTATAACGTTTTACAACACAGGTAATTATTTATAATTAATTAATCTATTACACTGTGATCATGACCCAGGAATAAAAACATTTATTTTTGCAGTAAAAAGATTCATGCATAGTGCTTTTCACCAGATGTTTTTATACCTTTTAATGTTTTGTACTTTGCTCATTTTAACACTTATGTTTTTGTTTACAGTTTGGTTGTAGATTTCTCTGATTAACTTCTTCTTCTTGTTTTAACAAGACCTATATATCATGGATATATGTGATTCAAATCTAGAACTAAATCAGGGTTTTTAAACGTTTGCTGTAGAGGTGGTCTGTGTGCAGCAGCTGGATGACCTCAGGTTTCTGTTCAGGTCCAGTACAAAGAGCAGGTGGGTCACGGCACTGCAGTCATGGACACACCTGAGATGGAGCGAGTGCGACGCAACCAGGATAACATCAGCTCAGTGAGTAAACAGCAGGCGGGGAGGAGCCTGATGACCGCCGAGGTCAGATTATGACCAAACCAGACATGATGATTGTGATAGAATCCATTATCCATAAATTAACTTGTCTCAAACTCCATAAAGTGTTCAGGTTTCTCACCAAAAAATCTTAAAGTTTGTATTCAGACACATTTTCTTAAGGAATGCTTAGCAGGATTTCCCTGGGTTTCATTTACCCAGTGGCGGCTGATGGGGTTTTCTCCAGAGGAGGCTATAAATTCAAAATAGGCATATACCAAAAAATAATCAAGCATGTACTAAGTTATCACAACAGTATATTTATATAAATCCCAACAACAAAAAACATGAAAAAAATGCTTTATAAAAACAAAACATAATTTCATGTACAGGTTTAGTTTTGCTATATAAATCTTACCCTTCTGAGGCTTTGTTAAGATAAATCTGTTTTGCATGCTCCAATATTGTGTCACACACCTAAAAAAAATAATGTACCAGTTTAATAATGAAGAAGCTATTAGTCAGCTTTATACATTTTTTTTATATTTTAAAACTATTTTCTGAGAATGTGTTTAAGAGTTTATTTTTGGTTGCAAATGAAGAAACTTCTAGAAAAAGTAGACTATATACTATTATTTTCCTTGTGAATCCCAGATTGTTCATTATTCTTTGCCTTTCCTTTAAATCAGTCCCAGCTGTCAGAGAGGTGTTTTAAGTCTTTCTATCCAGACTGTGTCTACGTCTAATCACTCCGGTCAGTTTTTAAAAGAATGCAGGAAAAAACAAGTGCCTTAGCTGTCCCACAGGCTGTCAGCCATGACTTACGCTGGAACCAACTCCTGCTAAAACTCTGGTTATAGGATTTGGTGCCAGGTTTGGTGGAGATTTTGAGGACCCAAATGCAGAAAGGAGTAGGCACAGATGAGTTTGGATGGTTTAATGAAAGTCCAAAGGAAAACAGAGGCAAAAATACAAAAAACAAAATTACTGAAAACCAAACAAAACCAATAAACGTCAGGAAAAATACCTGAGGGAAGCAAGAGACTAGGAAAAAACTAACATCTTCAAAACACACAAGAAACCAGCACTGAATGAAGGCTCTGGTGCTTTTTTAAACCCAGCACTGTGATTATAAAGATTTCTTTCACCTGTGTAGGCTACCCAAGTTCTCCACAAAGATCCTCTATAGTAGAGATGCACAACTCGCATTAACCCACACACAGGAACCCTGACATTTGGCCTTTTCCTCGGTTTGCTGTGTTAAATTTATTTCAGGCTGGTCAGCCACCATTGACTTTATTCATCCTTAGATTTCATTTCTGCTTTTACAACTTTTAAGTGGAATTAACAAGAAGAAAATACTTTTTTCCCCGCTGCTTAAACTTTTGATTCATCAGAGCTTAAATTCCTCCTTTATTCTGTTAAATAAGCTTTTATTCCATTAATTTTTATTGATAATAGAATGATAAAGGCTATAAAGAAAGATTTCCTCCCATTTGGTCTTCTGAGGGCTTTTCTCCATCCAACGGTGTTACATCCACTAAATGCAACCAAACACATTTGGACACATGTCATGTTCCTGCCTCTGCACCCTGCGGGAGGCAGACAGCTCCCAGCAGGGCGGCTCAGCAGCTCAGTGGTGTGCAGAAGACAATAAATCCATGCCTGTTCTGATTCTCTGTCACTGGGTGTTTCATCATTAGATCCCAGCTAGAAGCCATGCGTCTGAGCAGAAATCCGTGTTTGATTTGGTTTACTGTCCGTCTTCCTGACAGGTGAAATACAAGCAGGCTGCAGCCAAGGCCACCAGTCTGGGGGTGACTCCAGAGGTGGAGCGGGTCAAACAGAACCAGGAGAACATCAGCTCGGCAAGATGCATGCACTCAACAGTCCACACACGCATATTCCTTCTGTATAACCTTAGATCCATCTGTGTCGTACGGCGACAAAGGGTCAAAAAAAAACAAACAGTTTTGTGAAGGCCTTGACTGCAGCTCTGAAGTGAATTTAGCAATTAGTTTAAAGGATAGAACAATAAAAACCTGAGCTTCAGCATTGATGCAAAGTTTAATCAGCTGTGAATAAACAGAACATGCCTCTGTTATCACCTGCAGTCTGTCCATGCTGCATCACATAGCTAAAGCTGGTCAAGTTAGCATTGATCACACTTTAAAAATGGCTAATGTCTCTGAATTAAAACCCTAATTTGTTATTTAGATGTATTAAATAAACAGTGGTGATTCTGTTCATAAATGCCCTCCATGCAAAGGTGAAAAACTTTACTAGCAATAGAATTTTAACCGCCATAGAAACAAAAGTTAGCTTTCTGCAGAGCTTCCATAAACACCATCTGTTGATCAGGGGTTATTTATCAATAACTCAAACTGAGACCACGGTAGCAAAGATATGATATCTGTGGTTTCCTTTTTAGAGATCAATGGAAACTCTCTAGATGTTCATAATATAGTATATGTAGAAAATATATGTTTGGTTTAAGGGACAGTTCTGCAAGTTCCTCGGCTGCTTTGGTCATTCAGAACAAACCATTTAGCTTAGCAGGTTTTATATTCAGTCGATTCTCGCCTTAAACCCAAATTTCATTTCCTCTCATGTTGATGGAGGTCTATTTCATAGAAACACAAACAAGGAATGCAGAACAGTTTGAGCTACATTCACACTGCAGCCTGAAGTGACCCAATTTAATTCAATTCAATTCAGTTTATTTCTATAGCGCCAATTCACAGCACATGTCATCTCAAGGCACTTTACAGTTCATCAGATCATACAGTCAAATTGATACAAAGTTTTCTATCTAAGGAAAACCAGTTGATTGCATCGACTCATTGACTCAAATACAATCCCTCACACTAAGCATGCTTGTAGCGACAGTGGAGAGGAAAAACTCCCTTTTAACAGGAAGAAACCTCCAGCAGAACCAGACTCGGTGTGAGCGGCCATCTGCTGAGGAGACAGAAGCAGACATAGAAAATGATCTGATCTGACCTGGATCTGATCCATTCATGACAGTCTGAACAACACAGATCTAATTCTTTCTAATGCGACCCAGGCCACTTGGCTCTGTGGTCCTGAATCCGATACATATCTGACCTTTTCTAATGCAACCCGTGTCTGAACAGCCAGGTCGCATTCATCCCACCTAAACGTCATTAATACATAACAAGGGTATTGTTGCTACGCAGAAGCAGGAAGAAAAACAACAATAATGTGGAGAGCAGTCTTTATTTTCAACCCTCTTGAATAGATTGTGTGTTTAATGTTGGGAAAGAAATGAAAGTTCATTAGATGCGCTTCAGCACTACCATCCATGTTTACTACCGTAAAAACAGAGCGCACTCGCTTGTGATGTCATTGCTTCCTTTACTGCACATGCGGGAAACTTAAGTTGTGTGAATGCAGTTCACACAGGAGATCACATACAAGTCGCCTACATCTGGAAATATAAATGCAAAAGAATCAAATTTCACAAAAAAATCAGAATTGAGCATTAATGCCTGCAGTGTGAACGTAGCCTTAGATTCCAGCAGGAATGGATCTGTTAGCCATGCTGTGACAGGGATCCATGCTGGCGCTCCCACTGTCAGAAACCAAACTGATTCTTACCTGTTTTGGAACAGGAACTGCTTTGACCAAATAAGGGAAATAATAATTATGTTGTTGGTTAGAAGGACCCATGAGCAGAGATAGACTGTGGGAGAACTCAACGAAAGCAGATCGGTTAAACCAGAGGCCTAAATACTGACATGGAGGTGAAAATGACCAGAGTGAACTAATTACAGGAGATATGGAACAGCTGTGGCAGGAAAAAAGCAGGGTAGCTGAGGGAGAAATAAGGCAAACAGCTGTGGGTCATAACAGTAATAAATGTTTTCCTCCTAAAGCCAAGTACTGTGCTCCTCAGTAACGTCATATGAACATGTGTGTGAACAGGTGAAGTACCAGCGCGGCCTCCAGGAGCTGAGGGGGCGGAGCTGCACCGAGCTGGACACGCCCGAATACAGGCGGGTCAGAAGGACCCAAGACTCTGTCTCCATGGTAGCGGCATGGCTCCTGTGGTTCTGAGCTCAGCCTAGGGGGTGGAGCTAACATGAGTGGCACAGAGGATGGAGCCGCTGCACAGATACTAACCCCCACCTGCAGGGAACGAGGACGCCGCAGCCGCATGTGTCTGAGTGTGTTTGGATACATGGTTCTATGAAGGAGAACATTTTATTCAATAAAATCTGATGTTTGGGTTTGATTTGCTCACTGACCAAATGCACCCTAAGCTGTCTGTCTGTGTTTGAACTCCTTGTTTTGTGTCTGTTTGATGTCCTCTTCAGTGGATCACCAACATCTCTGTGTTCGTTTCCTCAGGCCAAGTACCATGAGGACTTTGAGCGGACCCGCGGCCGAGGCTTCACGCCAGGATTGGACGACCCCAGCATGGAGCGCTACCAGAGGGCCAATCAGATGATGGGAGAGCCGGCCTATGGCAAGGGGATCCACCCCCAGGCGGTAGAGATGGACAGACGGCCCGGAGGCATCATCGTAGGTCAGTTTTTCAGTTTTTTTCATTTCACCTGCTGAGGGACTGCCTTTGTTCTTCATGACTCTGAGCTCTGTTCCCCTTTACAGGTTTACTTCATACCTCCTCACTTTGTCTTCATTTCAGCTTTTTTTCCCAGGATTTATTTGCCTTTAAAATTATTGCTCTGAGTTTTTTTAGCTCTGATCAATGAACACTGATTTTAGCTGAAACCTTGGAAAATCTTAAAATAGGAAATAGTTTCTGATTTATAAAATTTTGCTTCAGTTTTCCTGCAGAAATCTTCTACATGTTTGGGATCTGGAAGTTATTTATTTTAAGTTTCTGTGACGTTTTGTTCTGAAAGTTAATTGTAGAGTTTTGTTAGTTTTTTTTCTACATCTTTTTGTAAAACTCCTGTCATGATGGGTTCACTGAAAGCGACCCAAGAATGCAGAACACCACTGACGGACACAAGGATGAAAGTTTAACAGTTTTATTTTGCACAAGCACACTGAATATTCTGGTTCTGGTTCGGGGCCTGGATTCTGGTTCACCGGAGTCTGCGTGAGAGACAGTTCAGTTAGCGTTGCCAACAGAGGTTTGATTTCCAGAAGTCTACTGATTTTACCTTGAGGGTTCTTGAGGTTAGCTTTGGGAGAGTCTCTGTTGGTTCTGGAGAAGAGTTCATCAGCAGAGTCCGTAGCTGCTTCAGCGTCTCACGTCTACTTAGAACAGACCTTGGCTTTGGGTTACCCAGCTCAAGTCCAGAGCTGCTTGGAGGTTCTCTGTGAATCTCCAGGTTTGGCTCAGAGGGTCGGCTCGGCAGGTTAGCTCTTCCAGAGCTTTCACAGAGGAGGCACAGGTTTCCTGGAAAACAGACACAGGGGTAAGAATCCAAGCTGGATTCGAAAGTCATAGATTTACTCTGAGGATCTAGGCTTAAGTGCTGACCAACTGGAACAACACTGCGGCGTTGAGGCAAGGTCTGAAGACAGCTTAAGTAGTGGATCCTCTGATGATCTAGACGAGCTGCAGCTGTGCAGGAGGCTCCCTCAGAGGATCCACGGCGGACTCTGCTGGAGAAAGGTGGAACTTCTCCAGCTCCCAACGGTACCCCCCCCCTCAACGACCGCCCCTTGGCGGTCCGGAAGAGGTTGATGGGCAGGAGCGCTCGTACTCCTCGATAAGGGCTGGATCGAGGATGTACGAGCCCGGAACCCACTGGCGATCCTCCGGTCCGTAGCCCTCCCAGTCGACGAGGTACTGCCATCCGCGACCTCGTCGACGGGAGTCCACGATGCGGCGAACCGTGAAGGCCGGATGTCCATCGACCTCCAGGGCGGGTGGTGGGGAGTCGGACGGAGGGCACAGAGGGCTCGAGGAGACAGGCTTGATCTGGGACACGTGGAAGGTGGGGTGGATCCGGAGGGACTGAGGTAACTGGAGACGGACGGCTGAGGGGTTGATGACTCGAGTGATCCGGTAGGGTCCGATGAATCTAGGGGAGAGTTTTCGAGACATCCCCTTGAGGGGGATGTCTCCAGTGCACAGCCATACCTCCTGGCCTTCGGTGTACTCGGGGGCGGGACGTCTCCGGGCGTCGGCAAAGCGCTTAGTCGCTTCTGAAGACTGGTTGAGAGTGGCGATGGTTTCCCTCCAGATCCTTTGGCAACGGCGGATATGATGGTTGACGGACTGCACCGAAATCTCTCTCTCGTCTGCGGGAAAAAGAGGTGGTTGATAGCCGAGACTGACCTGAAATGGGGATTGTCCAGTGGATGCAGATCTGAGGGAGTTATGGGCGTATTCTATCCATGGCAGAAATTGGCTCCAGTCCACGGGGTTGTTTGACGTGAGGCAGCGAAGGGTGGATTCCAATTGCTGATTCATGCGTTCAGTCTGACCATTCGATTGGGGGTGGTAACCAGAGGTGAGAGAGGGTTTGCAGCCGAGAGCAGAACAGAAAGCCTTCCAGACCTGGGAGATGAACTGCGGGCCTCTGTCCGAGAGGATCTCTTGGGGAATGCCGTGTAACCAAAATACATGCTTGATGAGAAGCTGGGCGGTCTGGAAGGCCGTGGGAAGTTTTCTGAGGGGAATAAGATGGCAGGACTTCGAGAAGCGGTCAACAATAGTGAATATGGTGGACATACCTCGGGAGACAGGGAGACCGGTGACGAAATCTATGGCGATATGGGACCAGGGACGCGAGGGAACAGGAAGTGGTTGAAGCAGGCCAGAGGGAGGTTGGTGTGAGGCTTTGTTACGGGCACATGTGGGACAAGCCAACACATACTCCTTTACGTCCCTGTGGAGAGTGGGCCACCAGAAGCGTCTGGAGATGAGAGCTACTGTTCTACTTACTCCTGGATGAGCTGAGAATTTGGCGGCATGCATCCACTGGATGAGACGGGACCTGACAGAAGATGGAACATATGTACGATTAGATGGACCGTTACCTGGATCGGGTTCAGTGGCCAGGGCTGAGTTGATGAGGTCAGTTATCTCCCAGTTGACCATTCCCACTGTACATGAAGCCGGAAGGACAGGTTCAGGAGTCTCGGGATGATCGACGGAGTAGAGACGAGAGAGAGAATCGGGCTTCACGTTCTTGGATCCGGGTCTGTAGGAGATGATTAGATTGAACCGAGAAAAGAAGATTGACCACCTGGATTGGCGAGGATTAGCTTGTTTTGTTGACTGGATGTAAGCCAGGTTCTTGTGGTCAGTCCAAACAAGAACCGGGTGCTCAGCTCCCTCCAGCCAATGCCTCCATTCCTCCAGTGCCAGTTTAATGGCCAGGAGTTCTCGGTCACCCACATCATAGTTCTGCTCAGCGGAAGAAAGCCTACGGGAGAAGAAAGCACAGGGGTGTATCTTCTGATCAGATTCTAGTCTCTGGGAAAGGACTGCTCCAACACCGGAATCTGAAGCATCCACCTCTAGGATGAATTGCTTAGCTGGATCAGGTTGCATGAGGACTGGTGCTCTGGAAAACAATGACTTTAATTTTTCAAATGCTGCTTGAGCCTCGGGAGTCCACTGAAAACTGCGTTTTACAGAGGTCAGAGAAGTTAAAGGAAGGGCGGTCTGGCTGTAGTTTCTGATAAACCGACGATAGAAGTTAGGAAAACCCAAAAACCTTTGGAGTTCTTTGCGGTTCTCTGGAACTGGCCAGTCTAAAACTGCCTTGATCTTGTCCTCAGATGGTTTAACCTGGCCGCCCTCGAGCACAAACCCCAAAAAGGTGAGTGATGGTTGATGAAATTCGCACTTTTCGGCTTTCACGAACAGTTTATTCTCCAGCAGTCTCTGTAGAACAAGACGGACATTTCTTTTATGTTCATCGAGGTCCTTGGAGTAAATGAGAATGTCATCAATGTACACAAAAACAAATACGTTGAGAAAGTCTCTTAGAACATCGTTAACGAGGGCCTGGAAGCAAGCTGGAGCGTTGGTTAGACCAAAGGGCATAACCAGGTATTCGAATTGGCCCAAGGGTGTTTTGAAGGCAGTTTTCCACTCGTCGCCTTCACGGATCCTAAGGAGATGATAAGCGTTTCTTAAATCCAGTTTAGAAAATACAGTAGCCCCCTGTACGGGCTCAAAAGCAGAGGCGAGAAGAGGCAGTGGGTATTTATTTTTAATAGTGATCTGATTCAAACCTCGATAGTCAATACAAGGTCTCAGGGAACCATCCTTTTTTCCCACGAAGAAGAACCCGGCGCCCAATGGAGAAGATGAAGGGCGAATTATTCCAGCAGCTAGTGATTCGTTGATGTACTTTTCCATTGTTTCTCTCTCGGGCTTAGAAATGTTATACAATCTACTGCTAGGTAAAGGAGCACCAGGTAGAAGTTCAATGGCACAATCGTATGGTCTGTGTGGAGGTAGGGACGTCGCACTGACCTTACTGAAGACAGGGGCAAGATCATGGTACTCAGAGGGAACTGAAGAAAGGTCAGGAGAGTCCATCTCCCCCCCACCTCTAGGAGACCCCACCAAGGGGGCAGCAGAACGAAGGCATGTTTCGTGGCATGAGATGGACCATGATTCCAGGTGACGCTTGGTCCAGTTAATGTGAGGATTATGCTTCTCCAACCATTCGAAACCGAGCACCAGCGGGGAACATGCAGAGGGAAAAACAAAAAATGTTATCGTCTCTCGGTGGTTACCTGACAGAAGAGGCTCGAGGGGCTGAGTTCGATGGGTAACTTGATGGAGTCTTCTTCCGTCAATAGCGGATACACTGAGAGGCTGAGTCAGAGGAATAGTTTCAATTTGGAGTTGCTGGACGAGGTTAGAATCGATTAGGTTACATTCACAGCCTGAGTCGATGAATGCAGAGAAAGAAAGGCTCTGGTTAGCACAGAAAAGTGTGGCAGGCAGCAACAGTCGAGGAGATTTCTTAGTGTTTATTTGGCCCGCCAGACTCCTCAGATCCTCTGGCGGGCCCTGGCTTTTGATTTAGCCGGGCAGGCAGCAATGAAGTGTCCACTCTCACCACAGTAGATACATAGCTTGCTTAACAAACGCCTTTGTCTCTCCTCTGGAGTGAGCCTGGTGTGTCTCACCTGCATGGGTTCGACATCTCTTTCACCCGAATGAGAGGCCTGAACAGGCAACGGTAGAGACTGGGGCTTAGGCCTCTGTACGGGCAGCTGCTCTGTAGAGGGAGAACAAACAGTCACGTTATGTGAGGCAGAATAAAGTGTACTCTGCTTCTTAGAACTGTTTCTGGCTCGTATTCTATTATCTAATCTGATGGAGAGGCGAATTAAATCTTCGAGGGTAGCAGGTTCGTCGAGGGTTGCGAGTTCATCTTTAATGTGCTCGTTTAATGCCATGAAAAAGGCTCCTTTCAAGGCACTTTGGTTCCATCCGGAAGCTGCCGCTTTAACCCGGAAGTTAATAGAAAATTCAGCCACCGAAGAGTTTCCCTGTTTAAGATTGAAAAGACCTCTAGAATCAATTGTTTGGTCAGTTTCTTGGTTGAATACCTGGGTAAATTTAGAAATGAAGTCAGAGTAGTAGCCAGTGTTGGGAAAGTTCTCTTTCTACGTGAACTAGTTCAAAGTTCAGTTCACACATTTTAAAATGAACTAGTTCAGTTCATAGTTCACAATTCCAAAAAACGAACTAGTTCATAGTTCTTTTTTTTTTTTTTTTTTCATATATTGCTCAATTACACCATAGCCTACTGTAGAACCACAGACAGCAATTATTTTATCAGTTATAACTCTGAAACTGTGCGTCAGATTTCATCTTCATATCCAGTTTTGAATCCTTATCCAACCAGGGTTTACATTAGCATTGAGGGGACAGATTTCCCCATTGTTGCTTTAACGCTTTGTTGCTGTCCATTCACTTCACACTAGTAGCAGCTGCAGCTTTCACCCCTACAGTATATTCTCAGAAACATCAGGAAAAATGTGCTGCTTGAATGGTCTTTTTTATGAGGAATTATTAAAAGAAAAATAGGAAAGTAGTCTTTAAGGTGCAAATGTTTTTTTTTTATTTTAATAATTTTTTCCATTTGAAATTCCATTTCAATACATACTAAAAAGGAATACTGGAATCCTGGAAAATTATACCAGGCAGGTTTAACAAACAAGTTACATGGATAGTAAAACCATCAAGAACAGGGGTCTTCTATGTTTTCCAGACCAAGGACCCCCAAACTGATGGCGAGATGGAGCGGGGACCCCCTAACTATATATATTGTATGAAATTGTGTCCTATAGTCACTCTATTACAGATGGAGTAATGTAAAGAAATTAATTTCTCCCTGGGATTATTAAAGTTTTTCTGATTCTGATTCCTGGTTGATGGGACAGGTGTTGTGAAGGAAACGGTGCCCAGCTTGAAAGAGCTCCTGTGTGTCGCTGAATGTGTGCATTGATGACTGAAAGACATCTTTTGTCTCCATTTATCTGTTTACTACAGTGTGTTGATTTCATGTTAATGAGTATTTAAAGACATTTCAATTAGTGGGGGAAAAAATTGCAGGGGGGGGATATAAAAATATCAACTAACCATGCAGACCCTCATGCAGTACCTCCGTAGACCCCCTAGGGGTCGCGGATCCCCTGTTGAAGACCTCCGCTCAAGAAGATTTTACTAACACAAACTGAGGGACCAGGCTGAGGGAGGAATTTAAGGTTACTGAAGTGCGGATTTTTTTACTGAAAGCCGGCGGGCAAACTTGTTGCCATCATCCTCACCGACCACCTGGTCATAAACCTGTTTTAAGTCGCCTCCATGCTGCTGTGGCTTCCACGCTGCATTTTGTTTAGATGACGCAAGCGGCTGTAGGCTACGACGCTGGTAGCTGGTGTTGCCAGATTGGGTGTTTTTCCCGCTACATATTAAGGCCTGTTTACGATGTGATTTAGCCGGGGTTTCGCCTGGAGGGCTTTATAGAAATCTGGCAACCTATTGAACGGAGCTGAACTGAGAGAGCGTGCCGTTCACAGACACCAGAATGAACGAGTTCACAATAACGTTCATCAGGCAATAATGCAGTACGTTCAGTTCACGTTCGCCCAAAATATGAACGAGTTCATGAACTTTCGTTCAATGAACGCGTTCAGGCACAACACTGGTAGTAGCAATTTAAACTGTCGTCAGCGGCAAATCTTGCCTGAGCCCATTCCAAGGCTCTTCCTGTTAACTGAGAGAGAATGAAAGTTATCTTCTTGAGATCCGTGGAAAAACAGCCAGGGGAGTTCTGAAAAATCAACTGACATTGAAATAAAAATCCTTTGCAATCTTTCATGTTGCCAGAAAATCTTTCTGGGAGACTAGGACGGAACTCTGATGACGTCACTGCTGGTGACCTCGGAGGAGGAACTGGACCCGGAAATGGTTGTGGTGCAGCATTAGCGCTGTTCAGATATTTAGCACAGCTCTGTAGCATTTGGTTATGAGAGTCAACTAGACGGTATAACTCACGGAGCGTTTGGGTTTGTCCCTGAATTTGGGCATCCTGCTCCTCCAGTCGACGGGTGAGGTGATCTGCTGGGCCTTGAGTTTGGTCGCAGTGTTCTGTCATGATGGGTTCACTGAAAGCGACCCAAGAATGCAGAACACCACTGACGGACACAAGGATGAAAGTTTAACAGTTTTATTTTGCACAAGCACACTGAATATTCTGGTTCTGGTTCGGGGCCTGGATTCTGGTTCACCGGAGTCTGCATGAGAGACAGTTCAGTTAGCGTTGCCAACAGAGGTTTGATTTCCAGAAGTCTACTGATTGTACCTTGAGGGTTCTTGAGGTTAGCTTTGGGAGAGTCTCTGTTGGTTCTGGAGAAGAGTTCATCAGCAGAGTCCGTAGCTGCTTCAGCGTCTCACGTCTACTTAGAACAGACCTTGGCTTTGGGTTACCCAGCTCAAGTCCAGAGCTGCTTGGAGGTTCTCTGTGAATCTTCAGGTTTGGCTCAGAGGGTCGGCTCGGCAGGTTAGCTCTTCCAGAGCTTTCACAGAGGAGGCACAGGTATCCTGGAAAACAGACACAGGGGTAAGAATCCAAGCTGGATTCGAAAGTCATAGATTTACTCTGAGGATCTAGGCTTAAGCGCTGACCAACTGGAACAACACTGCGGCGTTGAGGCAAGGTCTGAAGACAGCTTAAGTAGTGGATCCTCTGATGATCTAGACGAGCTGCAGCTGTGCAGGAGGCTCCCTCAGAGGATCCACGGCGGACTCTGCTGGAGAAAGGTGGAACTTCTCCAGCTCCCAACAACTCCTTTTTAAATGATCCACCGGTTGTGGTTCCCAAGAACTCCTGTTTTTTAGGGACAGATTCAATTCCATTCATTTCAGTTTATTTATAAAGTGCAAATTCACAACACATGTCATCTCAAGGCACTTTCCAGTTCACCAGTCAAATTGATTCAGAGTTTTCTATCTAAGGAAAACCAGTTGATTGCATCAAATCATTGACTCAAATGTAATCCCTCACACTAAGCATGCTTGTAGCGACAGTGGAGAGGAAAAACTCCCTTTTAACAGGAAGAAACCTCCAGCAGAACCAGGCTCAGTGTGAGCGGCCATCTGCCGAGGCCGACTGGGGTTCAAGGAGACAGAAGCAGAGATACAGAAAGCAGCTGTAAAAGGCGGCCCCGTCCAGGAAACACACAGCCAGGCAGACGAGCTCCAAGCCAGCTCCCATGTCAGAGGATGGAGAGAGAACATCCAGGCAGTCACAGTCAGAGAAACAGGACAACACTGAAAAACAGGCCGATCTCCAACATCTATAAACAAAGGTGTTGATGGCAGCAGCACAGCTGATTTTTCTCTCCAGGATGGAGTCACAGCCAAACAGGAACAGACCAGATGAAGCTACTATGAGAAAAAGCAGAGAGAGCAGAACGTTAGAGATTGAACTAACAGATTCTGCAGAGTGGGAGAATAGAGGCAGAATGAAGTAAAAGGAGGGAAAAAGGGGTCCCTATGTCCTCCAGCAGTCTAAGCCTATAGTAGCATAACTATAGAAATAGCTCAGGAAAACAGACGTTTATCTGCCTTCATCCATAACCATTGATCTGATCTCAGTCTGTTTGTGTTTCACACAAGCAGAAATATTCAGCAAATTAAATCAGCAGAATAGTTTTTTAAACCACAGAATTTTTGACAGGAATTAAAGAACCAATAAACAGTTTCCTGAAAAACATTAATGAACTCATGTTGGATTCTTATTATGATAGTTCTTATTAAAAAGAGTTTTTATTTTATGATTTTCTGGCAAGAAAAGATTATTTAGTTTAATTTCAATTCAGTTTATTTATATAGCAAAATTCCCAATATATAACTTATCAAGGCATATGTAGAGTGTAGTTTATTATGTGCTCATATTAAATCATTCAATGGATAAATTACGCTTCTGAGTTAATTTTTTTTAAGTTATTTAAAATCTATTTATTACTTTTTGTACAGACTTTAGTCCTAAGAGTGCTGTAGAGAACATGAGCTGGTTCTTATAACTGCAAAGACTTTATCTGGAAACATCAGACACATTTTATCCTCTAGTCACATCTTTTTTAAAGGTTCAGTAAGAAGATGGTGGATTAATTTCTTTTTTTTTTTATCTGCTTATAACCTCGTATTTCTAGGAAAGAAAATACAAACTGGGCCAATATTTGACCCTCTTGTTCTTTTTCATGCAGATAAACACTGCAACCAGTTTATTGTCTGAACTGTTTTTGTCCTCCTCTCTGAAGACCTGAAGGTGTGGAGAACAGATCCAGGCTCCATCTTTGATTTTGACCCTCTAGAAGACAACATTCAGTCCAAAAGTCTCCGCAGAATGTCTGGTAGATCACCTGAGAAAAATCTTCACTTTTGTATTTAAAATAAATAACTATACATAAATATTTATAAGGAATAAATGAATAACTAATGTGTGGAGAAGCTAGAGTTCGTGGTGCACGAAACAGTGAAATGCTTTTCTCTTAATGTATTCAGTCAAATCATGACATTACCTGCATGACTTTTTGTTTTTGGTTTAACTTTAATATTCAAAATGAAAAAAATTAAAATTCAATGAAATTTTCAGCACAGAACAAGTAGTGAAAAAAATTGTTTGGTTAGAAAAGAAGAAAAATGTCCTGATTCATCTGACATTTTGATTCCTCAAATATTAATCATAAATCAGCAATGAAAACTAATTTCTCACATCAATATCCCAACATTAAAGATGACAGATGCAATTTGTCAATTCTGCTGATTTTAGAAATGGGTTTTGTATTTAATGCGGAAGATTAAACAAAAATATCTACTAAACCTCTATTAGTGTGTATATTATACAACAAAAGACAGAACATATATATATATATATATATATATATATATATATATATATAGATAGATATATTTTTTTTTGCATAGGATTCGTCAAAATCTATTCTGAATTCTGACCTTTTTGGTCCCTGCCTGGACACCATTGGCGGATGTAAACAGGGGCCAATGGGGGCCAGTGCCCCCAACTTTATTCTCGAAATAGAAGAAAAAAAATCTCTAGCCTGGCCCTAATACTCTGTCGTAGAACAGATCCCAGCCCTCTTTTATTTTAGCACCAAAGAAATAAAATATTTTCATGTACCCCTTGCAATGCACTCGCGGACCACTAGGGGTACGAGTACCCCCTGTTGGGAATCACTGCTGTACATAAAATCAGGTGCTCTGTTAGTTAAAACTATGTTCAACTGTCATACCTGTTAAAATACAAATTATACAATACGAATACTTTATGAAACAGAAACTGAAATAAATATTCTGAACTAAAGTACATCACATTTCAGAAGTAAACCTGATTCTGTAATGTAAGACTGAGCAGAGTGAACAGAACCATGAATCAAAATGACTCTTTCTTCTTTGTGCTGAAAGGTAGGAAGAAAAATACTGAGAATCACTTTCCTCTAGATCCAAACAGAAACAGTTTATTTGAATAGTGTTTATATTTATGAACAATAAAACATAAATAAAATCTTATGCGTCCCTTCAGGAGCAAAGTTTCCTAATATTGACCTAACTAACAGCTGTTTTTCTCCAGCAATCAAATATCTTAATTAAAATCGTTTATTTGTTCTAATGAGCGTTTCTTTTTCTCCGTCCTGTTTGACTGGCGGCTTTATCCCTGCTCTGTGCTGCTATCTGGTGGTGGCTGCCTGTCAGAGCGAGCAGGCCGCAGGCTGAGCAGGCAGCACTCCCAACAGTCTGCCAGCTCTCTGACCTCTGACCTCTGGGACCGCAGCAGCAGCAGCACTCCTGGTATCTGTTTCCGTGTTTCTGGAGTGTTCCGTGTGTTTCCCTCAGACTAACTCACCGGTTTTTGCATCCAGGTCACTGAGTTTTTCTCACGGCGATCAGCAGGTTCACTAACAGAGGTCAGGTGTCTGCTGACTGCTGACCTCCTTTCTCTTTTTGTGTTTGTCTATCAGCTCCCGTGCTGCCCGGAGCGTACCACCATCATCATCATCAGGGCCACCAGATGCAGCAGCATCAGCAGTATCATGGGTACATGCATCAGACCAGCATGTCGTCCGTCAGATCCGTCACCTCACCGCCACACTCTGCCACATCGGTACGCCCCCAGACAGCATCAATCACACGCTCTTTGTTTCTAGCAGGAGCATTCTGCAAAAAGGGTTTAAACCCTTAGAAATATTTACTTATTTTATGGTTATTTTGTTTTTAATGTACAACGGAGTATTAGGGCCAGGCTAGAGATTTGTTTTTCTTCTACTTCGAGAATAAAGTTGTAACATTATGAGAATAGTCATAAATTATGAGAATAAAGTCGTAAAATTCACAAGAATAAAGTGATAATATTAAGAGAATAAAGACCTAAAATTATGAGAAACAGGTTGTATTTTATGACAACTCTAAATGAAATGAAACACAAATTAGAGCATGAAAAAAAATGAATGAAAGGAGAATGGCTTTAAATCTGTTTTTATTGTTAATCATAATCAACTTTTCTCATTTCAAATGTATATAGAAATAAAAACTGAGATAATGATCAGAAAACCATCACTTAGAAGGTACGGGGCAGTTTGGAGCTCTTTGGGGCAAATAGTATGTTTACACAAGAGCTTTTTGAGCCTCAAAATGGCCTCTAACCTCTTCAACCTAGATGTTTGCATATTCTAAAGTAAAACGCTTTGGATGCCTGATGAAGTCAAAAGGGATGAGATGCTCTGTTCTTTCTGTGTTTGTAATCTAGAGAGTGTTCTTGCTTTATTTGCTTAATGGGGGAGAAAATACACCTTATAATCAAGAAATTCCATCTAAAATAAAAATCTGTTTTCAGTCCATCCGTATATAAAGTATTAAAGTATTTCTGATTCTGATCTATATCCAATAACTAATACAATTTTTTGTAGCAAGAAAATATTTCAATTTGTTAAGGGAGAAAAAGTAAATCTGTGATAGCAGGTAGTTATTAATAGCTGTAATAACAGGGTTTATACGGGAATTGGTAACTCTAACTTAATGCTTTTTAATACTCTTAGAAATAATTTTAATGCCATCAACAAGTACCTATGACTCTCTCATATATATGAGAGTTTTCCAGCCACTTTTGTTAAAATTTGCATTTTCCCCATTCTCTAGCTTTTTCTCTGCCTTGAGCTTCTGTTCCAAACATACGGCTTTACGAAAAACCGGAAGCAGTTCCATGCAAACACAAAACTAATCACAATGCCAACTAAGGCCTTAATTTAGAAAATTATGATTTAATGACTTTTAATGATTTTTAATGACCCGTGGAAACCCTGAATAAAAAAATAAGTAACTATTTCCTAGAGATCAAATATATCTCTATTAATTGGATGCGTGTATCACAAGTAACCGTCACATTTTAACATTTACAAATGGAAATCTTACTACTTTTTAATGTGGACCCTTTGGCTTTCCATACCTGCTCCCGTCACAATTGATCAGCATTACAGATTTCTGCTTGTGTGAAATTCTTAAATTTGAGCACAAAAAATAGTCAAAATAGCTGTTGATGTCATGCAGTAGGATTTTCTGTTTTTTTCACCTCCACCACTGCAGCTGCATGATCCTGATGGTGGAAACGCCTGATAGTTACCTCAGTCCAACTTTTAGCAAAGCTAACAGATCCCCGACAGAAACTACTTTTTAACAGCCTGCACAGAGAGCGGGCCGTCTGCAGCTCAGAGTGATCTGATGTTAAACTCTACCAGCAGCTTGAGGCGTATTAACAGGCAGGTTTTAATCAGGGGAATCACAAAAATAATCCTAGCAGAACGACAGGCAAGATTTCTGATCAGTAGACCTTCAAGCCCCTTTAAGAGCTGCTGCTGAACCTGCTGCGACTGGTTCCATGTGTGCAGTGTTACCCAAAAACAAGAAGCTTTGCAAGCAGCCCTGAGCGTATCTCTAACTGTTGATCTGTTTTACCTCAGCGTGTTTATAGAGCGCTGTACGACTACGCGGCCCAGGATCACGACGAGGTGTCCTTCAGGGACGGAGACGTCATCATCAACGCCCAGCCCATCGACGAAGGCTGGATGTACGGCACCGTGCAGAGAACCGGCAAGTCCGGCATGCTGCCGGCGAACTACGTGGAATGCTGCAACTGAAGAAGAGGAGATGGAGGAGGAGATGGAGGACGAGGAGGAGTCCTGCAGGGCTGAAAATGTTCTCAGTGTGTCAAAAGCAGATGATGGCGATATTCTTTAGTTTTCAGGAGGTTTTTATTTTCCAACACCTGCAGAAATAATGTCTGCATGTTCTCAACCGATCCTGTGAGTCAGAGAGTCACAATAAAAAGGTTTTACTCATTTGATTGACAGATTCATTTAGGAAGGAAGGAGGCTGCTCATTTAAAACGTGTGAGATGAGCTTCTAATCAAAGGAGAGATGTAGGCTCCTCTGAGGGAAAACATCACTTTTTACAGCAGGGAAGGAAAAGGAAATGAAGCTGGTTGGAGAATAAAATAGTCCTGATAGGTTGATTAACCTCCTTTGCTTCAGGTTAACGCTCTGAAATATTTTATTTAGTGTTGTTTTTCTCAGACCAACCTGTTCTCACTGATACATTCAAAGCCAATTCTGATGCTTTGGTTTTTGACCAAATTAAAAAATAATCCCACATTTCTCATTATGATCACAGCTGCTTTTCATTCCTGCTGGATCTACAGGCTTTACCTGAAGGTCTATTCACACAATGTTGGATTATTTCAACTAAAGTTCTCTCATTTTACCAACTAATATACATCATATTTGGGTTTTTAAATGTTTGCTTTTTTTCATTGGCTTGTTTTTTTTTTTGTTTTTTACGTAAATCCTAAAGAATCTGTGGATCATAATAGCTCACATTTCACCCAGACTTTTATTTTACAACTTCAAGCTAATCATCTTGTCAGAGCTCAGATCTTTGGACCCAGAATTCAGGCAGATGGTCTGAAGTAATTGACAATAGCGTTCATTGACAGTTTGACGAATCTGCGACTCAGCAGCTAGGACAAAAAAGGCTGGAATCTCTGTAGAGGGGAAAACACAGGTTAGTGACCATGTAACTGACGGAGGACGATAATAAGCGTGTGAGTCACTAACCTGGTTATAAAATTCAGTCTAAGCCCAGAGGAAGGAGTGGAATCAAGTTGAATGATTTTCCACAGCAAGCGACAGATGACTCCTAGAGAGTTCCAGAAACTGAAGCTAAGAAGGCTGCTGAGCAGGCTGACAAGCAGAAGCTAGCAGACAAGAGAGAGCAGGTGTTTCCAGAAGGAGAAGCCAAAGCCGGTGTCGATGAGGTAAACAGTCCCGGCCAAAAGATCAGAGATCCGAAGAGGTACCTAAGGGGAATCCAAGTAGGCGTCAGGAGACAGAACCAGGGTCGTAAGCAGGCAGAATGCAGCAGGTGTCTGAAGACAGCTCAGGCAAACAGATCAGAACAGGGGCAGGCAGGCTCAGGGGTCAAGGAGCAGAAACTAGTCAGGTTAAGGTTATCAGAACAACACACTTGGTACGCTAGAGAACTCGCACCTACGGCTCGAATAATCTGGCACTGATGGCTGGGAGCAAGCAGCTTAAAAAGAGGCAAGAGCAGGTGGATGAGATGTACAGTAATGAGAGATCTGGGCGGAGCTTGGCAGGTGAACGGAATGAACAATGAAGCCAGTTATCAGTGCCAAGATCATGACACCTCTAAGTTAGAACGATTCAATTAAAAATCATTTGACAACATATTTCATTAATAAATGTATTATTAGATCCACTAATAAAGATGCTTTAAAATTGTATTTCAGTAAATCAAAGCAACATTTACAATAGTCCTTCTTTAACATAGGAAGGACCAGAAAGTATCATAGCAGACATCTTTACCTTCAGTCCTAAAACTTCCTGAGTTAAACCGCTGCTAATGAAGCAGTTTGATCCAGGCATTGGACAGGAGACACCTCTAGATGTTCCAGGACACCGTCCACCAAGGACAGGAGACACCTCTAGATGTTACGGGACTGCGTCCTTCAAGGACAGGAGACACCTCTAGATGTCCCAGGACACTATACTTCAAGGACACGAGACACCTCTAGATGTTCCAGGACACCATCCACCAAGGACAGGAGACACCTCTACATGTTACGGGAACCCTGTCCTTCTAGGACAGGAGACACCACTAGATGTTACGGGACTGCGTCCTTCAAGGACAGGAGACACATCTAAATGTTACCAGAACCTGTCCTTCAAGGACAGGAGACACCTCTAGATGTTACAGGACCCCGTCCTTCAAGGGCAGGAGACACCTCTAGATGTTACAGGACCCCGTCCTTCAAGGGCAGGAGACACCTCTAGATGTTACAGGACCCCGTCCTTCAAGGGCAGGAGACACCTCTAGATGTTACAGGACCCCGTCCTTCAAGGGCAGGAGACACCTCTAGATGTTACAGGACCCCGTCCTTCAAGGGCAGGAGACACCTCTAGAAGTTACAGGACCCCGTCCTTCTAGGACAGGAGACACCACTAGATGTTACAGGACCCCGTCCTTCAAGGACAGGAGACACCTCTAGATGTTACAGGACCCCGTCCTTCAAGGACAGGAGACACCTCAAGATGTTACAGGACCCCGTCCTTCAAGGGCAGGAGACACCACTAGATGTTACAGGACCCCGTCCTTCAAGGGCAGGAGACACCTCTAGATGTTACAGGACCCCGTCCTTCAAGGACAGGAGACACCTCAAGATGTTACAGGACCCCGTCCTTCAAGGACAGGAGACACCTCTAGATGTTACAGGACCCCGTCCTTCAAGGGCAGGAGACACCTCTAGATGTTACAGGACCCCGTCCTTCAAGGGCAGGAGACACCTCTAGATGTTACAGGACCCCGTCCTTCAAGGGCAGGAGACACCTCTAGATGTTACAGGACCCCGTCCTTCAAGGGCAGGAGACACCTCTAGATGTTACAGGACCCCGTCCTTCTAGGACAGGAGACACCACTAGATGTTACGGGACTGCGTCCTTCAAGGACAGGAGACACCTCTAGATGTTACAGGACCCCGACCTTCAAGGGCAGGAGACACCTCTAGATGTTACAGGACCCCGTCCTTCAAGGGCAGGAGACACCTCTAGATGTTACAGGACCCCGTCCTTCAAGGGCAGGAGAAACCTCTGGATGTTACAGGAACCCCGTCCTTCAAGGACAGGAGACACCTCTAGATGTTACAGGACCCCGACCTTCAAGGGCAGGAGACACCTCTAGATATTACAGGACCCCGTCCTTCAAGGGCAGGAGACACCTCTAGATGTTACAGGACCCCGTCCTTCAAGGGCAGGAGAAACCTCTGGATGTTACAGAACCCCGTCCTTCAAGGACAGGAGACACCTCTAGATGTTACAGGACCCCGACCTTCAAGGGCAGGAGACACCTCTAGATATTACAGGACCCCGTCCTTCAAGGGCAGGAGACACCTCAAGATGTTTCAGGACACTGTCCTTCAAGGGCAGGAGACACCTCTAGATGTTACAGGACCCCGACCTTCAAGGACAGGAGACACCTCTAGATGTTCCAGGACCCCGACCTTCAAGGACAGGAGACACCTCTAGATGTTACAGGACCCCGTCCTTCAAGGACAGGAGACACCTCTAGATGTTACAGGACCCCGACCTTCAAGGACAGGAGACACCTCTAGATGTTCCAGTACACTGTCCTAGAGCAGTATAATAAAGTAAGGCAGGTGTTATTTAATTGATCATGCTAGGAAACATCCACAACGTCAAAGCTTCCTACGTAAAGCTGCATCTAGTCAATAAAACCATGGGGGCTTTGGGAGGACCATCATAGATACTGGAGTTTTGACAGCCTGGGGGGGCAATAATTGACCCACAAATAGGTAGTATAATACGGGGAAATGTTTTGTTGGATTTCAATACTTTCGTTGAGCTTCTGCTACTTTTAATACAACTTTGCAATGAGGGCCATTAAAAGTGGCATTATTAATCAGGTTGGCTGCAGTTAAACAGACGTTACAGTGAACTGAAGAGTTTTATCACAGTTTAGTTAGATTGAGTCTTTATGATTAACCAATCAGCTGACCATGAACCAAATTTCCGAAGCTGTTTTTCATTAAAACTGTCTGAGGATTTATTTTAGTGCATTTTTCGTCTTTAGGGTTCAACAGAATTAGCTTTTTTTTCCTTAATGACATCCAGACAAACTGAATATGCAATTGTTTGGTTATTTGATGGTGAGGAATAAAATGAGCCATAATGAAGCATTTCAGGATCAACAGTAGATTTAGTCACACCCAATAAACACGACTCATTTTAGGGCTGCAGGCTGATCACAGATTGATAATCTGGACAAGCCTGACATACTGATTATGATTTTGACCATTATATTTTTTTTTTTATATCTGACGCTATCAGTTAAAATTCCCAAGAGACAATGAAAACTTCTCAAATAAATGCTATAAATGCTTTATAGCATCAACAGATGGTGAGTTTCAGACCTTTACAGAAGAATTATAACACCAGAGGATAAGATGGATTCACATCGAAGCGTCGGCCAATCAGACTGAACGACCAGCTGGCCAATCAGTCGGTTCACCCCTTTATACAGTTTTGGGAATTAAAGCTTTTTTGGTTCATTTATAGATTTTTTAAAAAGTTCAATATTAAGCATGAAGCAATAAACAGAATTTAACCAGAGCCTCTGGAGATTGCAGAGCAGAATATCACTGAATATGAAGAAAGATAAATTATTAAACAAAAGTCTTTTTACTATTATTTTATATGATGATTTGATGGGAGGATGTTTATCCTAAGTTAGTTTGATGATGGATTATTGTTTCTTTAGTAATTTCTGTGTGGAATAATTTCTCCAGAGAATCCAGACAATCAGTCTATCCTGTGATTTGGAAATATTTTATTATTATTATTATTATTAACCTTTTTACGTGAAGATGGTTGGATTTTAATATTTGTTTGTGTGGACTTAAAGCTGCCCAGACTGTGAGGAAACTGAAAAACATTTCTGTACATCTCAGCATATTTTCACACCCGACTTTGAACATGAATATTTGAATTTATCTGCAGTTAAGTTGTATTTTTGGGGCTGTTGTTGTTTTGCGGTGCTGAATGCATCCAGTCGTATCCAGAATAAAAGCATCATTCTGACTGGAGAGGGTTTATAATGATTGGAGTTCTGGAGAAGCTGCATTTGATGAATATCTGTGTGTTGATTTTTGGAAAAGGCACTTAAAGTTTTCTTTGTCTTGTTTTTTGCTTGGAGGATTTCTGGGCTTCTGATGCCTTCTCTGTATTATTCGTTTTTCATTAATAGTCTGTATGTTAACACGGGTTATAATCAGATTATTTAGATTTTATTTGGAATGATCAATCACTCTGTTTTAGTTTTTATGTTAACCGTTTCATGTAAGAGAAATAAAATCAGATAAAAATTGACAGAGACCTCATTCTTGTGAGGTGTATGATCCATTTCTTCTTGATAATAAAAAGTTTAAAAATATGTTAATTATTTTTATCAGGAATTTTGGTGTTTAGGTATTTTATTCTTGTTAGATTATTCAGTTTCACTTAAATTCATATTTGGCAGATAATCATTTCCACAAACTATTTATTGTTTGTGTTTTGAACCATCAACTGGCTCTTCTTTCCATCCACGGGTCACTGAGGAACCGCATCCATCTCCATAGCAACATCTTCCAGCTCATTCTGGTCAATCCCAGATTAGATGAGTCCCTGTTGGCTTCTCCCAATGGGAAATGTCCTGAAAAGCTCCAAAGGAAGTCATCAGCTCCTCGTTGGATCAGTAAAGCTAAAGAAAACTCACTTTATCCACTTGTATGAAGGATGTGGTGCTTTCAGTTGTGATCCATATTTAAAGACCATTGATGAAGATTTGGACAGTGGCCATTAAAACGCCCTGGGATTTTTGGTTGTGGCGGCCCATCGTGATTGGTTATATGTTATAGGGAGTGTTGTAATTCTATAGTTAAATTCTATTCCCAGCCCGCTGGGAATTTATGTTTCTGATCCTTTAAATGTTTATTTGCCCTCCCCTGTAGGGGTGGTAAAATATCTTATTTAATCATTTAGAACAAAAGAGAAAGAGTGTTTCAGCACTAATTATGGTAAAAACTTATTTCTGCACAAAGGGAAAAATTCACCACGACTTCTGTTCAAAATTAAGATTTTTATTAACAAAAATATTCAGTCCACGTCAAACGTATTTCATTTTAACCTCTCAACAAAGACTAGAAAAACTAACAAAAACTAAACAACTACATGTACAAAGAAAGGGGGGAAAAGGGTTAAAAACATATTCAGTTTAAAGATGGATCTGGTTTGAAACCAAATTTTATCTGGAAGAATTTTTGGGGATGTTTAAAATTTGGGTTTTCCCTAATTTTAAAAAACATTTGGAAGTTTTTCACCCAATTCACAATGAAATTTTCCTGAGGTGAAAAAAACTATTTGGCCAAATAATTTCTTTGAATTTTGCTAATCAAGAAAAAAACCCCCCCCCTTTACTAAATGTTTCTTTCCCTTTAAAATCAGGGCTGCTCAAACCACCCGGGGCGGGGACTTTGGTTTGGAAATGTAATGAGCATCGAGGAAAAACATGAAACTAAAGTTATATCAGTGTTTTTAATCCTTTGAATAAAGTTGTCTAAACTTTAGCAAAAGCCAACAATATTCCGTAGCATAGCGACAGCATCCCTTCTTTGCACCATCACGTTGTCTTTTTTCAGCAGAAAAACAGAAGATTTTAAAATATTCTTGTTCTGTCCCCAATCTGCCAGACCCGCAAAATTTTTCCATGCCTTTGGAAAAATTTATTTTCACCCGTTTTGCAGCTTGCCAGGGATTCTTTGTCTCAGTCTACGCAGGGGGCCCCCCTGCCAAAACCCGGGATGGCCATCCAGTTTTTCGTAAGTTTTTGAAAAATCAAAAGAAATTTTTGCAAAAGTTTTTTTGCGCAGTTTTTGGTTTTGAAGGGTTCTGCCCTCCTTGATGGGTTTGGGGGTCTGGTTCCCCTGGGGCCCCGCATCTCCCTGTGGGCCCCTTTGGGCCCCGTTTGAGCCAGGCAGGGCGTGCCAACATTTGGGGGGGAGTGCTAGGGGGGGGGGGGGCACTTTTTTTGGCATTTGGGGA